AGAGGTCAACCCTGATCCATTATTACAATGCAGGAAATAAGCCAATGTATGTTCTATTCATACACAGAGCTATTTTGTGTATATTAATTAAGTGAAAGAAGGAGATCTCAGAGAAGGCTGAGGCTTGTTGGTAATTTCCTGCTTTAGTTAATTCTCTGCCATTACTAACACTTCAGGGGAAAGTTTGGGATGCACTCCTCTGTAGTTTCTAGTGTAAAAAATGGAAATCCTTACCAAAAATAAGTTTAAAGATGCCTCTGGCCCACGTGGGATGCCACCAGCAGTGACTTCCATGTTTTCCCTGCCCTCTCACTCCTATTCTTATCTGTGTCTACAATAGTCAATGGCATGGTCAGCGACACACTTGACTAGCTGACCATCGATCAAGTCCTTGAGTGCTCTTCCCCCGCATCTGACCTACATAATCTGAGTGAATGGAGGGCAGAAGTGCAAATGTGCTAGGACAATGGACACTGAACGCTTTTGCATGAAAATAGTTTTTGTCTCGTCTCAAATCCAGGAATTTTCCCATTTGTGGATTGATTCACCTCCTTGTCTATGTATGCTGAGTTTTCTTTCAGAAAGTACCTGAGATGCACTTGGAACCATTTACTAGAGTTTGCCAATTTGGAAATATCACTGAATTGTTAAAAAAAATTCTCATTCCTCGCCTGAACTAGCCATGTAAACTTGGGTATATGTTTAACTGCTCTGGGTCTTGCTTTTATCATTTGCTGAAGGAAGAAGGCAAGATTGAATAATCTGAGGTCACTGGATAAGACATATTGCAACATTATAATTTTATGGCTACTCAAAAAGCTCTAAAACAATGTGGACATAATGTGTCATTTTGTGTCAAGGGCCGGTGGCCCAAGAAGGCATTTATACAAATTCAGACGAAGGTCAGTTTGTATGTTAAATGTCTGTGTTCTATTGTTTCCATGTAAATGGTCACAGAAAGTAGTGACCATGGTGTCTCCTCAGTGTTACTATGTCATTGGAAAGCAGTCAGGGTCATGAGCCATGAGGATTAACAGAGATTTTGAGTAATGGAAGGAAACCAGGAAGAGAAGCTGAGCTGATGTGGTGGCCAATGCCTGTAATCCCAGCACCTGGGAGCCCGAGGCAGGAGGATGGCTGTGAAATGAAGAAAATGAAGCTGAATCAGAAGAAAATAAAAATAGAAGGGATCTTTCACGACAGAGGTGAAGGGGGAGGGTTTACATATCTCAGAAAGAAAAATTGGAGATGTCATTAGACCCCTCTCATATTAATTTTTTTTTTTTTTTTTGGTACCAGGGACTGAACTCACAACCTTGACCTTTGCAGGCAGGCACTTATGCCACTGAGCTAAATCCCAAGCTCCTCTATTAACTGCTTTGACAATTAAATCTTTTTCCTGGAAGGAGTACAAAAAGAACCCTCAAAAGTTAATTGCCCTAAATCCCCCAGCTGCTTCTTATATCTTTGGATTCTTGGATTCATGGAGAGTAGAAATAAGTAAACTTTCTCTTGAATTGTTCTTTTTGTGGCACTGGCGATTAAACACAGGGCATTTGCACTGAGATATATCCTCAGTGTTTTTTTACTTTTTATTTTGAGACAGGATCTCACTAAATCACTGAATTGCTAAATTGCCCAGGGTAGGCTCAAACTTATGCCTCAGCCCCCAGACTTTGGGATTATATAGGTTTGTGCCACCGCACCCAGCCCCTTATATTATCTTGACAGAAATTCTTGGTAGCTTCTCCCCCTCCAATTAAAAGCACTTCAGCAAGCCCTGATAATTACCTTACCTGCAGAAAGTAGGTAATAGTGGAAGTTGCTTTTGAACCTTACTCTAAACTAGTAGCTTTTCTGGAAGAAGCAGATGAAGAGGGGTGTGATACCCTTTGTGTCAGTACTTTGTCTTCTGTCAAGAAAGCCAGGCCTTTTCCACTCATCACAGGTTTGACACTCAACATTTGACATCACAATAGTATTTATAAGTATTAATGCCTCTAAAACCTTCCCTATGGGCCAGCCAGCCACTCTTCCAAGTATTTTGCCTGTCTTTTTACATTTAACCCCTGTAACACTGTTGGAAGTATCTCTACGTTATGGTTTACATATGAAGTACCCCAAAGACTGACGCATTCAAACAAACACACACTCATGTATTGAGGGCTTGATCTCCAATGCAGCATTGGGGTCTAGAGATGTGGTCGGAAGAAGAGGACTTTTGCTTCAGTTAGTGAGATCATTACTGGAAGGCACTGGGAATAAGAGGCGGGGCTTAGTTGAAGGTAATGGATCATAGGAGTGTGACTTTGGGACTATAACTGTCCGACTGCTTCCTTGATTTCTGCTCTGTAGATCTAGGTTGAAACAATTCTCTAAATCTGTCTGCATGAGGCTGGCCAGTATCCCCCGAACATCTTCCTCCTCCCCGCCCCGGGAAGCAGAAGTCCTTCATAAGCAGTTCCTCCTTTAATTCTTCACCCTCCCCCATTCCTCAACTTTTAAGTGGGGCTGCACACAGATTCAGCTAGTCAGGGTGTCTGTCTAAAATTATTATCGTTTCAGACCTCAGTTTGGGGGAGGTGAATAGCCAAATGCTTATCTTGACATTATTTCTGGGATCCCTAAGGTTGATGGTGATCAAGCTCATCTAAAGGGATGAGTGACTTCATACAGAATGAGTTAAAGTGTAGTAATGAGAAAAAACAGGTCATTTGGATTCACTGTTAGTATCAAGATGTGTAGTCACTTTCAAATATTGTTGAGCTTTCTAGACATAACAGGAATAAAATATTCCTTACGAACTTTTGAAAATGCTGAAGTGCTATCAGTCAGTGAAAATGCAATCATATTTATTATTATAACACATATATTGTAAAACAAATGGCTGGAAAACTTTATAATAATATGCATAAAATGATTATTAAAATTTATCACATCACTAAAATACAGGAAAATTAATTAACAAATAATATAAATAATAAGAGAACTGTGTTAGCTATATAACCTTAGGAAGAACCTTATTTTTTCAATCTCAAAATATTTATAACAATTTAGTAAATAATGCAGTATTATTTAACAAATAGAACAAGGCAAAACAATAAACATTATACTGTATCTGTGATTTAATTGTACAATAATGTTTTTCTGGTTGATTGGTATATTAACATTTATCGTAGAAACAAAACCATCCTCAAGAACTATATTTTTGGAGGATTTTTAAAAACTGAGGGGTCACATGCAGTAAAGGACAAATTTTAAGTGTACAGTTCAAGGAGTTTTCATACAGTAAACATATCTACATCAACCACACAGCATTTCCACGCTCTTAGATTCCCCTACCTCTTTTCCCCGTGAACACCTCCTAAGGCTGCCACTCTCTTGGCCTGTATTACCACAGATTCATTACTTTAGAGCTATTTGCTTCCTTTTTTTCCTTTGTGGTGCTGGGGATCCAACCCCAGGCCTTATGCAGGTTAGGCAGGTGCTCTACCCAAGCTCTACCTTAGAACTCTTCAGTCACTTAGTGGAATTTAGATAATGAGTCTTTCAAGAAGTGTCCTATTTGGAAATTCATTTTGTTTTTGGAGTATGCATTAAAGGCATGATTTTATCTACTTTAAAATTTTGAGAAGAAGACATCGATCTCCAAAACCACAATATACGTTAGCAAAATCATCAGTGAAGAACACAGAGAGCAGGTGGGTGTGGTGGAGCACCCCTGTAATCCCAGTATTTGGGAGGTTGAGGCAGAGCACCTGGGTTTATAGCTCAGTGCTGGAGTACCTGTTTAACATATATCAGGCCCTGCATTAGATCCCAGCACTGAAGAAAAAAAGAATATAAAATATAAAGTGTTTTAAAAAGAATAAAGTGAAGAAAAACCCATACCTTCTTTTCTATGCACCTTGGTTAAAAATCATCTGTTTATAGAAAGATAAATGTATAGTATGCTGACCACAGAAGCACAAAAATAAATTACAACTTTGGGTAAAACTTTGTATTCGAGTATCCTAAAAGTCCACTTGATGATGGCAATATTCTGTGTTCAGGAAATAGTGATACTGCTGGGTGTAGGGGCTCACTCCTCTAATCCCAGCACTTGGGAGGCTGAGGCGGGAGGATCCTTGTGAGTTCGACACCAGCCTGGGCTACAAAGTGAGCTCAAGGCCAGCCCGAACTACATAGTGAGACCCTGTCTCAAAAAAATCACAGAAAAGAAAGGCTTAACACCTCAGCAACCGACTGCCTCCCATTCTGTATGGACTGCTCAGTGTTCTGCCCTCCTTTCTTTTGATCCCCCTTCCTCTCCTCCCCACCCTTTCCCCTCTATGCATGGATGTTTGCCTTGATCTCCCACTTGTCAGAGGCAGCTGTGCCTCCACTTGTAGTTACCATTATCCAAGGCCTCCCACGGCCTGGGGCTGAGCCGAGCAGCAGCAGCAACAGCAGCGCCTCCTGTTTCAGCTTCTACTCTTTGTTTTCCTGGGAACTGAATCCATTGCCTTTGCATTGAGCCCTTTTTACTTTTATTTTTAATTTTAAGAGAGGGGCTCATTCAACTGCTAGGTTACCCAGGCTTGATGTGAATTTGTGACCATCCTCAACCTCCCCGAGCGCTGGGATTGTACTCAGAAGCCCCCACACCTGTCTCCGACCCGAGCTTCTTAAATGTCCTTTGTGAATCTCCTGTAATCTTGTTTGGCAGGTAATAGAATTTCCATTTTGCTTCACGGAACAAAGCCGCAGAAAGGTTCAGTAATTTGTTCAGCATCGTGGAGAGGCATGACCGGGCCAGGCTTTGTACTCCATCCTGTCTGGCTGCAAAGCTCCCCGACTCTGGTTAGGAAAGAAGGCGCTGGCACGGGAGGTGTAAGGAGGGTGGCTTCTCCCACAGGTGTGAGAGGCCTAACAGTGTGTGTGGGTGGGAAGTCAGGTGGCCGTGGGTGTGGCACAGTTCATTTTGGACTGAGATAAAGAAAGAGAGAAGGGGCTGTGACAACAGTCAAAACTTTTCCAGCTTTATTCTCCAGAGGGAAAGATGGTGTCTTAAGCCAAGGCAGACAGAGAGAGGGCATTTCCACATCTCAACCCCTCGGGCCTGGGCAGAGTGCCAGTGTGGACAGCCTGGGAAGCACTGAGGCAGGGGAGATCATTATCTCCAGGAAGGAAGCCCTGACAGCTCCACCGGTTGGTTTGTGACAAGCAGCCTCTGGGCCATGGAAGGTCCTTAAGGTCAAGGGAAACATGAGCCTAGGGACATTCCCCTCCCTCTTCTGCCTTCGGGCCCAGGGGATGGAGCTAGAAGGAGACTCAGGGTGAGGCCAGAAAGAAGTGGGCTGAAGAAGGAGGGGCCATGAGAAAGCACGGGGATGAATTAGGAGTCCTGAGGCACCTCATAAAATTCTCTGGGGAGAGAGGTGATGACCTTTATTGCAGCCCGCAGCAGTAGCAGGCTCTGGCGAGCTCCCAGGGTGTTTCTTCACGCCTGAACTCTCGCCTACTTCTCTTGCCCCTGCAGGGCTCTCTTGCTTGCTCCACGGGTTGCGTACTGATTGCTGTCTGTAGACCAAGGCCACTTGTTTTCAAGTCCAGAGCCTGCCAGTGGACTCTTTCACTGACCGAGCTTTCTGAAATCTCTAATATCTCCTCGGTGAAGAAGGTCAGCCACGTCCCTCAGGCCTGTCTCATTGGAAAGGGAGGACTCACGGACGTGCTGTTTAAAGAATGAAATGCTCATGGGCTGGGGATTTAGCTCAGTGGCATAAGCATCTGCCTTGCAAGCAAGCGGTCGTGAGTTCTATCCCGGTACTGATTAAAAAAAAAAAAAAAAAAGAACGAAATGCTCCTTAAACTCGATGTGGCGTTTCTCTGTGTCTCCCTCCTTCTGGACACCTCTCCCCACACTGGGTACCGCAGCGCACCAGGGCTGGGGCTTCCTCAGGAGTGGAGCTATTGCTGCCTATTGGGCTGTGTCCTTCTCTTGCGGTGCTGCCCCACGCAAGGCAGCAGGGAAGAGGTGTTTACAAGCACAGCCCAGGGAAGCCACGCTCTGAGCCTGCTCAGCGGTCTCCTGGGGATAGGCTTCAGGTGGGGGAAGCAGCAACAAAAAGACCAAGATGATGTCCTCACAGCTCAGCCCACAGTGTCAGCACCAGCTCCATCTTGGCCTCGCCATGGAGCTGAATCAGGAAGGTTTGAAGAGAGGAGGGCAGAGTGTGCTTTGGGTGGAGGGGACAAGGAGGCCTGCAGAAGGCAGGAGGAGGAGTGAGGCTCAGACAAGGAGTAAGAAAGCCTGGAAACCTAAATGACTTCATCCAAGTGCACAGGAACCAAGCGGAATTTCCCGGAGTCCTTTTTCTGGGGTCGCTCACAGGCCACTACGTAACGTGCATTCCGATGCTTCTCTTGGTAATGGCAGTTGGGGTACTTCCCTGAGGCAAGTTTACATGTGGTCAGGGACACAGGCTTCGGGCTCTGGTGGCAGTTTTTACCACCATTCTTGCAGGTTTTGCTGGGGGTCTGGCAGGTGGCAGCCACGTTGAAGAGAGACGTGTGCAGGAAGTCATTGAGGCGTTTGCAGCTCTTTGTGTACGTGTTGATGTGGCCCATCGCTGAGCTGCAGGCTTGAGGGTTGGGCTGCACGTGCTGAGTTTCAAACCACTGAGCCGAGGTCATGCTTTTGGGCTTGGCACTGACTGGGAGCTCTGCCGCCCACAGCCCCAGCAGCAGGAGCAGCAGCAGCGAGCAGCATCTTGCTCTGGCTTGTGTCATCTGCTTTAGGGACAGCAGTCAGGAGGGAGAGGTGGGGTTGCTGGGGACAGAGAGCACAGGTGTTCAGTTGAGAAACTGCTTTTGTGTGTCTGCTCACTGTAGCTACTCACACCTCTCCCGACTGACTGTCTCACTGGGTATCTCCTCTTCCTCCAGGAACTTGCCTCCACCGGGACCCCACCTTCCTGACCTTCCATCCCACCTGTCATTCTGTCCCTGTGGCCTCTTGCTCTTTGTTCTGTCTCTTCAGTTACCATCTCCTTAATGTCCCCTTGTCCCTACACTTGTGTCTGCACCCCGCCACACCCCTCTCTCCTTTCCCATGTCCCAGCCTTTTTCTCATTCTGTATTTCCATCCTCAACATCACTGTTCTCTCTTGATCACTCTCCCGCTGCTCCTGAGCTGTCCCCGCTAAGTCAAGCCCCTCTTTTGTCTGTCTTAACACTCATCTGAGTGTACAGATGGTCAGAACCCTTCTTATTCTTTACTCTTTGTCCTCAGCGTGTCTCCTCCCAAGTCTCACCTCCTGGTTTAGTCCTTGTGCTGTGACTCCTGTCCAGAGGATGTATTCACCCTTGCTGGGCCGTCAGGTCTCTTAGGGCCAGTGCTCACTGCCTGACTCTTTAAGAGCTGGCCTGGGCTATGCGGTTTCTATCAGGAAATGAATCAGATTCATGCCTTTCCACCGTCAGGTCCCATGTAAGTGGATGCTGATAGAGCCAGTAACCTGCCTAAACATGTTTGCAATGAGGAAGCTTGGATACTCACATCCACACTGTACTGCACATGGGCCCCATTCACATGCTTTTGATGACTCTTAGAAAAGTACCTGTCCCAGTGTCAGCCCAGATGAATTTCAGGGAGAGCTGTCATTTTTATCCTCCTAAGTATGTCTCTGACATTTAAGAACAGTCAAGCACTGTTAATGATTACTTTTTCTCTAAGTAGGCATAGGGGTAGGATAGCCTGGAAAAAGAATTTGTAGAGTTTTCTGTCACTCAGGTATACCCTTTATCTTTGGGGGGAGATGGAGGAGACGAGGGAAGTGGACGAATCATCACAGTCATGATGCCCAGTACCATCCGCGACAGCTCAGCTGTTTCAAGACACTTCATTTCTCTGGCCCCTCCAGTTCTGGGTGCTGAGAAGCGTCACCTGGCTTTACCTCAGGAGAGCACCCAACACTTCCCCTCTGCTTTATGTAGATGTTTATGTTTGAAATGCCTTCGGTGGCGTTTCTCTTCCTGCCCAGCCCTTCCTTTACCTGTTGTTTGTGGCAGTGACCACCTGGACCCATGCTGCTCTGGGGGCTCCTGTGAGTCTGAAGTATGATATGGGGGCTTGCTGAGAAACCCTGGCAGAGAAGCATCACTGTGGATGGGGAGGTTGAGAAACAGAGGTGCTATTTTTGTACTTAAAATTCACCTATAAGTAGTAGGTGAACTCAGAATCTCAGGTCCAGCTGTGTGTATGTAGTCAATAAATAACAACTGAGTGCCTATTATGGACGAGTGTACTTGGGATATATCAGTGAACCAGAGATGCAAATCTCTACTTCTGTAGAGCTTATATTCCATTCGGGAGAGACAGTAAATATGTATTTTGCTTAAAGTGATAATTGTTAAAGAAAAAGACAGGATAGGAATTGGTGGACAGTAATTTTCAGGTAGGGTCACATGGCATGGTGGTGTGTGCCTGTATCCCAGCACTCCGGAGGCTGAGACAGGAGGCTCCTCATGAGCTTGAGGCCAGCCTGGGCTACATAGTGAGTGAAAAAATGTGGAGTCATTGAGGACAGCAGTAGAGCCTTGAAGATGAAAGAGGGAACTTGTGCTTGTCTGGAGAAAGAGTGTTCCAGGTCAAGAGAGGAGCTCTGGCAGGCCTCAAAGCACTTAGATGACCTGAGTGCCGGTGGAACAGGAAGCTGACCAGCAAGTGCAGGAGAGGTCCAGAGAGGGGTCAGAAACTGGGCCATGGGAAGCCTTGGAGCTTTCAGAAAGGCTGCATACCCTAGCACTGTGGCACGCACCTGTCTTCTCAGCATCCTGGGAGGTGGAAGCAGGAGAAGTCCAAGGTTGAACCCAGTTTGGTCAACTTAGTGACTTAGCAAGAATTTGTCTCAAAAACAAAAAAAGGAAATGTCACTTAGTCCAAAGTTCTTGCATTCAATCCAGAGAGAGAGAGAGAGAGAGAGAGAGAGAGAGAGAGAGAGAGACAGAGACAGAGAGAGAGAGACAGAGAGAGACAGAGACAGAGACAGAGAGAGAGAGACAGAGAGAGACAGAGACAGAGACAGAGAGACAGAGACAGAGAGACAGAGACAGAGAGACAGAGAGAGAGAGAGAGACAGAGAGAGACAGAGACAGAGACAGAAACAGAGACAGACACAGAGACAGAGACAGTGAGACAGACATGGAGACTGGCTTTTCCTCTGAGCAGAGGAGTAACGGGCTTGTCTGTTCCAACCTGGCTGTCCTGTGGATTGTGACTGTGAAGAGGTCCTGTAAACCATCTTGATCATAAGGTTTGTGTTTTTCTCTTTGAAGTTAGGAAGTTGATGGAGTATCTGTTGTTAGGGCAGAGGGACATGGTTCTCGTGGGGGCAGAGCAAGTGTGGATGAGAATGACAGGCTTCTGGAAGGGAAGGTGGTGTCGTGGGTGGAAAGCACCACTAGATGGCAAAAGTGAATCAAGGAGAAGGTGCATAGGACTCGGGCTCTGTGGGCTGTCCCCGGGGAGGCCCAGCCTGTGGGGACAGCCCTTTATATCTTTGTTAAGGTACTTGAAGGCAGACCTTTACACAGAGCATCCTTACCCTGCTGCTGTAGAAACCCACAGGCTTGGGGATAAAAATCCACATTTTAAAGCAGAACAAATGCAGATCAACTCGGCCAGATGAGCCCTCAGGTGGAGGCTGGATGGGAAGAGGGGTAAGGAGGCTTCGGACTCATTTGAATTCCTGGCGCAGTCTCCTTTCCATCTCCCATTCTGCTGGAGTGAGATGTTTCCAAATCACGAACTGAGCTGCCCCCCGTACTTGTGCTTTCCTGTCATTATAATTACCCTGCTTTGCTCTGTGACTCCATCATGCTGGACGGTCCAGAAACTGTGTAGACGAAATAAACAAGGCGTCTGAGGTCAGTGGGGAAGGGAGAGAAAGTTAAAGTTTGCATATGAAAATTGAAGTGGAAGAGTTGAACCAACCAAAGAACCCTTTGGCCGTAATTCTTTGGGTGAGGAAGGTAATTGTGCATGTTTATTTGCCTGATCTACCCCCAAGACCTGTTCCTCTTTGCACTTGGTAGGATAATTTTACTCATATCTTCACTCCCTGGGTAGGCAAGAGGAGAGGATGAAGGGAGGAGACGGGGTTAGGGAGAGTGAAAGGAGGCAGACTCAGACCAAGGGCTGGTCAGGGAGCTTGGCAGAGGGAGGGCAGCTCCTTGTGACAGGGCTCCTTCCTCCCCTGTTACCATGCCGTCAGCTCACCTCCCCCTAGGCTGACGTCCTGTGTGTGTGTGTGTGTGTGTGTGCTTTAAGTTCGGTGGGTGTTGTGAAAACCCCAGCAGTGCCAGGTGGACCTCTGCCGGTGCTCCCTGGGGACAACAGCTGCTGCTTCCTCTGGCCTGGGGCGGCACAGGAGGGAAGGGCCCAGCCTGGCTTGGTGCCGCATCTTTAGAGCCAGGCCTCCCTCCCTCTTCCGGAGCTCCACACAGCCTGCGGACACCAGGGGAAAACCCAAGAGAGTGTGAATTTTCCTCCAAGCAGGAACAGATCTGAGTTCTGTTATCCTAATTTTGTTGATCCTTGGATAAACAAGGGCGGTGGGCTCATTTCTGTATTTGGGGAAAATGAAACGTATAGCAAGTTTGGGTCAGACATGGGACTGGATTCAGGTCTTTGAATTCCCATGACCTTTCTTGGAACAGCTGCGGGTTTGGAGGAGGCACACTCCAAAACAGAAAGTTGGAATCCTTGGCTCCCAAGCTGGGATGCAGGGGAGCAGGGCCTGGTGTGGGCCGAGAGGCTCCAGCAGGTCACGCTGTCTCGGAAGCTCTTGCTGGTTACTCCCTTTGCACACAGCAGAGAGCAGATCCCTTAGCTGAGCATCAGTGCTGCCACCATCCAGCAAAGCCATCTTGAAAGTGGCTTGTCTCTTTCTGCCTTTTGTCCCATTCTGTACCTCAAAATCAGCCAGACTGGTTTTCTCCCTTTTCTTGAACATATTTTCATAATCTTCCTGATTTCCACTTAGCTCCCAACTGCCCCCAGAAACCTATCCCAAGGCCCCAGAAGGACCACCCTTCTCCCCTGGAAAATTTCTCCTGACCCTCTCAATACAGAGAGATCTTTCTCACCTCTATCTTTCTACAGCATGTCCTGCCTTCCAGAAGTGTTATTTTCTGCTTTGAACCACCATTTTTTCACATACATTTATTTTTTCCCTCTAGTTTAGGCTGTCAGCTCGTGCAAGGCTGGAAGCCCCCATTGCACTGCTTTTGTACAAGGAACAGGAGTGGAACTGAACAAGAAGGTGGTGATGGCTGAAACCACCCCTTGGGTTTAAGGACAACCCAGGAACCGTCTGTGACCAGGCATACTGTTTGATTGACTTGAGTTGGATAGGACAAAGAGAAACCATGCTGTGCCCACGGGCAGAACCTTGAGAGTTCTCCAGAATTACAGGACACCGTCCCTGCACCTGTGTCTAGCCAAGGTTCCGCCAATGCTTACTGTTGGAGAGGGAGGGATAAAATATATTGAGGTTTGCAGGCAAATGGTCTTCTTTTTGTGTGTCTGTAGGGTGCTGCTGGAGATTGACTCCAGGGCCTACTCCCTGATAATCCCTGCCCCCTGATTTTTTATTTTGAGATAGGATCTCAACAAGACTGTGCTTGAATCTGTCATTGTCCTGCTTCAGCCTCTCGTAGCTTCAGTGCTAGGATAACAGGTGTATACCACCATGCCCAGCTCAGAACACCCTCTTTATAAGAAAAACAAATCAGGCCGGGGGTTTAGCTCAGCAGCATAAGCACCTGCCTGGCAAGCGCTAGGTCAACAAGTTTGACCCCCAGTACCAAAATCAACAACAACGATGACAACAAAAATCAAACTTATTGTTTCAGTGCTGAACTAATATCGGTAATCCTTTTGATGGTAGAAGAACCAGCACCACTACAATAAAAACTGGTTTAACAAAAAACACTTCCAGGTTTCATATGTTTACCAATGCTTTCAAATATAAATTAAACCATTGTAGTAGTGCCTGCTTGTAATACCAATTACCTGGGAGGCTGAGGCAGAAGGATGGCAAGTTTGAGGTTAGTCTGGGTAACTTAGCAAATTCTGTCTTAAAATAAATAGAGATGGGGACACAGTGCCTGCCTAGGTTTTGGAGACCTGCACATGAATTCCCAGTATCACAACAAAAACAGAAATCTGAGATACAAGTCAGTCTGCTCTTGTAAGGAAGTTTGACTGTCATTAACTGGACCAGGGCTTTTCAATCTCAGCATTATTTACATCTTGCTCGAGACAGTTCTTTGTTGTGGGAGCTGCCTTGTGCAATGCAGGACTTTAGCACTATGCCTGGCCTTGTGCCAGTAGCAACCCCAGTTATGACAAACCGAGTACTCTCCAGATGCTAAGCAATCATCCCCGGTTGAGAACCACTGAATTTGACACACGGCTTGGGCAAGCTACCGTCTCTCCAGAACTTAGTTCTTCATCTTCAGGGTGAGTCTTGGACATGTAAAGTAATGGAGCAAGTCCACAAATCCTGAGCTTAGGGAGCATACAAAACCATGAGCAGGCTGTCAGAATGGATGGAGCAGTTCTATGCATCAGGACCTCTCTGCAACCAGCATCGTTCCTGGACCTGTGCTCCCAACTTTGTAACATGTATTTTTATGTATGACTTTCCCACTGAATTATTGATATAACCCACATTTTTCAAGTGACTTTCAGGTAATATATGGCTATTTTTAAAGTTATCACAGGGGGCTGGGGATTTAGCTCAGCGGCATAAGCACCTGCCTTGCAAGCAGGCAGTCGTGAGTTCGATCCCTGGTACCGATAAAAAGGAAAAAGACAAAAAAAAAAAAAAAAAAGTTATCTCAACATAGTCAAAACTTCATGGAGATGAATTCTAGGTCAGAAGTTAGAAAGTTCTCTGGACGGGTAGAGTGGGATGAAGTTGGGGTTGGAGGAGCCATCACTGGGCTGCTTTAGAGAATAAGTGAGGCTTTGCAAATGTCAGGAGTGAGTTAGCATGGAATTTAGGAGCCTGTGTCCAGCTAATTGTCCATTCATAGATCATTTAATGATTAAAAATCACTCTCGCATTTGTTGTCTGATTTTATTCTCGCAGCTTCATGAGGTAAGGAAGCTACTATTCCATTTGACAGAAGAGAAACAGAAGGGCAGCGGGTCATTGGGTATTAAGTCCTGAACTCTTTCCCCTATCCTGTGCCCTTCAGGTCTGTGACCCCACAGGCATAGGTGAGTGGTAGCCGTTGGGGAGTGGTCACGTGTGGGCAGACGATGAAAAAGAGCAAGACCAGGAGGCACAGAAGGCCACCTTCTCTTCTCAGGGAAGCAGCAGCCTTCAGGGTTAGGTAACATGACTCCAGGCTGGGGACACAGGTTTTGTGGTTAGATCCTCAAAAAACCCGAAGCAGCCTGGTTCAGTCGCAGGGCTGCGTGGCTTCCATACAAGTGCTGCATTGTTGAACATCCTGAAAGATACAGACGAGCCACCTGATTGCACTGGCTTTATCCTCCTTTGCTTGGGTGTGCATAGTTCCCGGGGAAGGTCATTCCAGGCATGGACCTCTCAAATAGGACCTGCAGGACTGATGGAGTAAGAGGGAGAGGGGATGGTGGCAGCATTCCTGTAGAGGGGATGGTGGGAGCAAAGGCATGGAAGGGTGCTGGGTGCCAGAGCAGAGACTGTATTTGTGTGAAAGATATGTTTGTCTTGGGCTTTCCTGGAGAGAGGGGTCCCTGAGCAGAGCAGGAATGGGAGGGATGAGTCTGGAGAAATTTCAGTGAAAACTGTCAGGGCTTCATGGCAGATGGATTCACACTCATACTGAGTACTTGCCATAGACCAGGCACTAGGCTAACAGCTCTTGGTACCCACCTTAGCCAATATGGATCCTGCCATGATGCATGAAACACCGTCTTCCTGAGAGGAAGCCTATGGTGGCTTAGTGAACTTTGATGGCATGGATGCTACTGAGCTAGGATTCAGTTCCTGGCCCATTTTACTCAAAAGCCTGGATCTTACCCACCATGGAGTCCTGACCCTTGGTATGGGGGTCAAAGGGATGGAGGCGCTTAGATCACTCTCAAGTTTCTTATACAGGTAACTGAGTGTTTTCATCCACTTTCTCATCACTAGGCCACGATGCCCACTCAACACCCACAACTTAAAAGAGAAAAGATTAATTTTCTCAGGATTTGGGAGGATTCAGACCATGGTCAGCTGGCTCCGAGGCAGAAACAGCATGGCAGAGGGGCACGATGCAGGAAAGCTGCTTATTCACAGTAGCCAGAAAGTAGAGAGAAAAGGGAGGGACAAGGATGGGGATAGATGCTTCCAAGTCATCCCCACCATTGGGTCCCACCTCCTTACAGCACACTCACCCCCTCCCCACAAACACATCCTCTGATGGGTGCAGTGATCTCATGACCCAAACACCTTTCAAATACTCCACGTCTGAATGCGTGAGGGCTGGGGAGATACGCTAGGATAAATCAGACAGACAGCACAGGAGAAGTTGGTAAAGAGGGTGGATTTTTTTTTAAATGGATTTATTTTTGGACTCTAGCTTGTGCTGTCAGAAAAAGCCAGTGTAGGGGTGCAGTGGATGAGATGTCATAAAGGGAACTCCAGAGTGCCTCCCTTCGGCCCCTTGGAGCATCCAGTGTTCTTTCTGCCTTTAGGCTCTTTGTCCTGCTGGGGGAGGCTGAAAGTCTCCCTTAAGAAGGAGCCCAAGATATGGAGAGCACCATGACACGAGACAGGACTTCAAGGCTCATGGAAGTTGAAGACCAGTGCTGGCAGCTTGGGGAGCTGGTTCTTTGGCTCTGTTAAAGGGGCAGACAGTTGGTAGTTGAGAATAAAGAGAACCAGGAGCTTGGTTCTCTCCCTAGCATGACAAATTACTCAAGACCAGCTCACAGTGGGCGTCTGCAGGGTGGGGCTCCGGCTTGAGGTCATGTCTCCTCATGTCTAGGTTATGCCTTGGAACTAACTGCTGAGCTTGAGTCAGCATGCACAGCCTGCCAGGAGTGCTGACAGGGCCCGAGTCACAGCTGAGGGATGTCGTTGTGAGAGGAGCAGGATTGTTAACAGAGACCCGGAGGTTCTTGATTCTCAGCCTGGTACTTTTGATGGTTTGGTTTGGTGCTTTTGAGACAGGGTTTGGCTATGCCGGGCCTCGAACTCACATGTAGCCCAGGCTGGCCTGGAACTCTCAGCAACCTTCCTGCCTCTGGCTCCAGGGATTCTAGGTGTGCACCACCACACCCAGCCTCAGCCCGACACTTTGGTGGGAGGCCCCCGTGCACATACCTGGCCTCCTGAGCTCCCGTGACGGACCCTCTGTTCTCTGAGGACGGGGAATAAGGAACACTTGGTTCCTCAGAAAACTGACAGTGCTTTTCTTGCTATGGGAGCAGGGCTGATGTGACGGAGCAAACATCAAAGAAAGCCAAAGGACTTAGGGATTTTTGGCAAGGAAGTTGGAACTAAGTGTTCTAAAGACACCAGAGAGGAGGAGATCAGACAGCAGTGTCTCATTCCTCCCACCTATCCCACCCCCTCAGCACAGGGGCTGCTCAGATTCAGAGGACACTTCCTCCTCCCAGACACCTCTTCACGGAGAAACTTCTGCCTCTGGCAAAGAGCAGCCTGCCCCTACCCAGCCATCTTCAGCTCAGGGCTTTCAGAGCTCTCAGAGCTATCTGAGAGTCCTCAGTCCAGTCTGCTCCTTTTATCCTTTCTCTCTGTGTGTGCTTTTTGCTTTGTTTTTAGCAGAAAGGGTGCAGGCTAGTTACCTGGGAAGTGTCTCTTACGCAAGGACCAGCTGGATTTCCTACTCTGCCAGTGCTGCAGCTCACAGACTGGGTGAGACTGTGACCCCACAGTGGACCAGGAGATGGGGTGGCTGTGTGGCTGATCAATCTAGGTGGCTTTGGACAAGGGCTTTCTCTGTCTGATGTGAGGATTTGAGGGATGAGCCCTTGGGGACCAACCAGCTCTTAGATGCTAAGGAAGGTGCATGGGGAAGGTAGAAAAATGCTGGAGACTGGGAAGATATGCAGCCCCCAGAGCCCACCTGATTCTAGCCCCTTAATCTGCCAGCAGGAGGAATGGCATCTGCTGTGGCCCAGCGCCTCCTACTTCTTCAGCTTGTTCTAGGACCAACTCTGATCACAGACCTCAAGCTGAGTCCCGCCGCGCAAGACTTCCTCAAGTTACACATCGACTACCCCAAGGTTACATACGCAGATGGTTTCCGTGGTTACTGTAACGGATTTATGGCTTATGTGAGGGGCAGAAGACAGCATTGGTTCTGCCCAAAGATCCATTATGTGCTGCATTCCCCCTGGAAAGACATCTGGAAATTCTGCAATTTTACCGACTACTACTGTGACGTTTATAATCAATATTGTACACTCACTCAGGACTCTTTTCCCCTCACAATCTGCTCCCTGGCGCCTGAACAGCCATCTACCAGCTGCTTCTACAACACCAACACATCCAGACAAAGGCTCTATCTGCTTTGCTCCCGCAAGTATAAAGGTCACCCAATAGGTATCATCAGCCTCTACCAGGGAATGTAATTTCTACACTGTCCCTATCTCATTCCCATTTCTGCTTTTCTTTTTTTGTCTTTTTCCTTTTTATCAGTACCAGGGATCGAACTCATGACCGCCTGCTTGCAAGGCAGGTGCTTATGCCGCTGAGCTAAATCCCCAGCCCCACATTCCCATTTCTTAAACTCTCATTCCTGCAATAAGCAGGGCCCAGAGATAGGCTCTGGGAAGACAGGCAGGTAGGAAAATGCGGGGGCTTTGATCAGTGTGGAGAGCTGTACTGTCTTCTGTGTCCTTTCCAATTTGTTTACCAGCTCCTCACCACCCCTATTCTCCCACCATCCCCCTGTCCCTCTCCCAGGGACAGTAAAACCCACCCAAGAAGCTGGCTGTGTCCACTTGGCAGTGCCTGTCCCTGCGCTGGGCCAGATCCTGACTCCTGGACGGAGGCCCAGGCCCCCAGCTCACGCCATAGCAACAGGCGTCTAGCTCCAGCACCACCCCCAAGCTCTGGTCTCCGTCTTCCCCACTTCCCCCCCCAACTGCCCACACTCAGAGACCCACAAGGCAGCATTTCTAGCTACAGGAGCCTCTCTGAGAACCTCATTTCCCCTCAGTTTCTAACCTGCTTCTCTCTGAGAGCCACTGACCCCTTCTTCATGTCACCTGCCACTTTTCCTGCCTCCCACCATGGAGCCTGGTGCTGTGTCTTTACCCACACTTGCAACTGCTCGGGCACCCTGCTTTCTTTTCTAGTCTCTTCCTTCAGTCCCCACTTTGGTCAACTGGAATTTCAAGCTATCTTCTGTCTCCCGTTCCTGCCAAGGTTCCTGCATCCCCTTCCTTCCAGGAGTTCCTCTTGAAATTGTCCAAATTCCAAGGTCTGCTATTGACAAAGCAGTGTATGAGGCAGGCCAAGCTCCAGTCATGCGAAAAGTTTTGGTGGTGCTGGGGAGCAAAGCTAAGGAGTCACACAGGCTGGACAAGTGCTCTACCACAGCTCTTTCCCCAGGCCCTACTCAAACAAAGTTTGAAAACCATATCTGAGTTAAGATAGTTACTGCACCAAGCATGGTGGTGCATGCCTAAAATCCCAGAACTCTGGGAGACTGAGGCAGAAAGTTCCAGGGCAGTTTAGCAACTTAGCCAGAACCTGTCTCATTCTATCTCAAAAATCAAAATGAAACAAAACAGACATAGAACCATTACAGTCAACTGGAGGAAGGGCGAGCCTTTCTATTTTTAACAACTGCTTGTGAATCTGTAATCATTTCAAAATAAAAAGTTAAAAATACATTTGATTAGTTCAGCTCTGACCTAAGTCCTTGTTTGCTTGTTTTTATTTGTTTGTTTTCAGTTCTGATCTAACTCCTTGGTGGTTTTTGTGGGTACTGGGAAGTGAACTCAAGACCTTGTGCCTGCCAGGCAGGAGCTGTGCTGCTGAGCTGTATCCCCAGCCCTGCTTGTTCTAAGACAGATTCTCGCTATATAGTTCAAACTGGTCTAGGATTCACTACATAACTCAGGCTGGCCTTAAACTTGCAGTGATCCTCCTGCACCACCAGGCCCAGTTCAATTCCTTATTTTTGTTCTGGAAGTCCTGGTGGCCACCCATCTCTGGCCACCTCCCGGGGCTGCCCCTGGGCTACTGTCAGCTGTCACAAAGGTCTTCTGTTTCACGGGGTACATATTGGAGATGGGGTGGGTAAAACTCAGTTCCTGGCTGAAAATGGATTCTCCTCCTCACTCTTAAAAAAAAAGGAAAAAGGAAAAAAGAAATTGCTACTCTGTTTTGGGCGGCAAGAGAAGTGGATGCCAATGATGTGCCTGCTCTTTTTTTTTTGAGACAGAGTCTCACTATGTAGTTCAGGTTAGTCTTGAACTCGCTATGTATCCCAGGCCGACGTGAAACTTAAGGGGACCCTCCTGCCCCAGCCTCTTGACTACTGGGATTACAGGCATGCACCACTAACCTGGCTCACCTCCACATCTGGTTCATCTCTTATCTCCAAATATATTCCTCGGGTGTGTCCTTCGGGAAATGCTAACTTGGCTGATAAGTGTGAGGTAATGCGAGGTAGTAGGTATATGACTGACTCTTCAGGCTTTCTCTCCCTCCCCACAGAGCCGATCTCCCCCTCCTCCTCATCAGCCCAAGCGCAATGGCTGCTGCACACATGGATGTTTATTGTCTCCCCATGGTAGGGTCAGGATGTTAGCAGGCTAAGAGGTGATTCCCGCCTACTTGTTGATCTTCTTATCGTAGGTGCCAGCACCCTTGTAGCCACTCACATAGCCGGTGTTCTCAGTCGTCTCCTCCCGTCCTGCCAGGCCCTTGCCTTTGCCGCTCTCGTCAAAGCGCTCCTTGTGGCTGCCTGTGTACTTACTGGTGTCTGTCAACCGGTCTACTGCGCCTACTGTCGTTGGTTTCTGCAAGCCAGAGAATGGGCTCAAGCCCTCTTCACCCTTCTAATCTTCCCCGAAGGCGGCCTTAGGCCCCCAGAACAGGAGCCCAGAGCTTGCCCTGCCTCATCCTGTGCTGCCTCCCTGGGGTTGGACGCTGCAGGGGGCAGCGCTCTGGCCAGAGCCATCCTCTCATGAGGAATCCGGAATCCTGCGTGGGAATGTGCGCGCTCTGTAAGGAGGGAGGGCGCATGTCTATGCTGCTGCTGGAGAATTTATGACCCCCACCCAATGTGCAGGGCAGAAAGACCTTTTTACAGAAGGGGCCGATGAAACAGGGTGGGTGAGGGGCGGGGGTCTTAGATTAAACTCAGAGAAGAGCGGAAGAGGAGTGAGGATTAGTACCAAGTCTTCTAAGTTGATGTCACCCCAAACTCACCAAGCCCTAGATACTTGGCTCAGACAGCCACGTTTCAATCCTATTAAAATAGCCTATTAAAATAGCCAGGGGTCCAGCTTGGCGCACCCTCCTCAAACTGCTGAGCACCTTGGGCAAGTGACTGCCCTCTCTGGGTTACAATTTCCTCCCTTCTGTAGGACCATGTGGTCTCTAACTTGTGTTCTGTTACAAAGGCGCACCACAGGCCTTCTGCCCCACCTCTCTCAGCGACAGTGCTGCTGGGGTTTGCAACATTGGAAGAGGAGGGGAAATGGAGCAGCAGGGACTCGGAGAAGTAGGGTCAAGGGTGGGGTGAAAACTGTACTCACAGTGACACCAGTGGTGGCTGGTTCCTTGCCTTCCATGAGTTTAAAAATCTCCTGCAGGGCTTCGTCTGGGTTCTTCCCCTTGAACCGCATCTGGCCCAGTTCCTTCATTGCTTCCTGGAACTGCTGAAATGTGATGGTTCGGGCATTCTTGTCCCTGGTTGTTTAGAAATACAGGAGTTTGAATCATGAATTCACTGTGTCGTGAGGTCGCACCTTCCCCTTCCTCCAAGGACTTGGCCTTGTCTGCCCTATCCTCGAGAGTCTCCTGGACAGAGAGCAGCACAAGCCAGGCACCCATAGGTGTTTGGAAGACCCACTGCAGGTGCTCTACAGAGGAGCCTCTGCTGGCCTGGCCCCTCGTCACATGCCTTACTTCACTTTGCTAAACACGATGTCCACGGAATTCGAGGTGACCAGCTTGCCGTCCATGATGTTACAGTCTTTACATAGCTTGGCGAAGTTCTTGTTGTTTATCTCCGCACCAGTGCTTGCCGTGTCCCCAAAGGCTGCAAATCGATGGAATGTTTTCTCTGCTTCTGATGCCATGGTCACCTGGAAGCGGGGGAGAGCCTGAGAGTGAGGGAAGAGGGGAGGGGAGGTGGAGGGCCGACGAGGGTGGGTGAGGACAAAGCCAGAGACAGAGACAATTCCCTTCTTCCGTGTTGTTCTCTCCCTTCTTTCCATCATTCCATTCCATCTGCCAGGGCTGCGGTGTGGAATCCCTTTCCAGCACCAGGAATCCTAGTGTGGAGCTCACACACTGAAAAACTCCCATTTCCCCACCATTTCAGTTACCTAGGAGTGCCTGGATGGTGTCTGACCCTGTCCTGCCTGTGTGTATAAGGGTGTGCAGCAGCCAGCTGGTTGGGGAGACTGTGGCACTGAGGAGGCTGAAAGGGGGCAGGGAGGAAAGCTCCTTGGACCTCAGCAGTGTTTGTGACATCATGTCTGGCTCCAGCTATACCTTTATCTTCAAGGGAGTGCTTCTGGTCTACCTCACACATTGTGCTGAGCAATTCGACAACCTTCTGGCCTCTGCATAAACTGCCTCATTTGCATCCAATTTACCAGTCCTGTGAGTCCTGGTCAATCTGTGTTATACTCTGCCCCATAACGAAAGCTAAGAAAGCCCAGGAGAGGTGTCACTGTTTTTAGGTAGATATAGCAAAATACCTTAAAATTAGATGGCTTACAAAAACCAGAAATTTATTTCTTATGGTTCTTGAAGCTGAGAGTTTTATGACCAAGGTGTCAATAAATTTGGCCTGATAGTGTGTTGCTGTTTCATAGGTGATGCATTCTGATGGTCTTGAATTCTAACTTTTGCCTCTGGACAAAGGGGTAAAAGAGCTCCTTTGGGCTCTCAGGAAATTTACTCCTGACTCCTCGAAGACCCTACCTCCTAATATCTTCCCTTTGAGAGTTAGGGTTTTAAGATGTGAACTTGCAGGTGCAGGGTGCAAACATTCAGACCATGGCAGATGGAAAAGTGGGACCAGACTGGCTTCCATCTATGGCCACTCTGCCAAGTCTCCAGGCTCAGATTTAGTCACCAGCATGGAGGATCTCACTGGCTTGGGCAGATCAGCTTCAACAGGGCCCAATAGGAAAAGAACGGGTTTGAACACCAGAGATTCCTGCTAGTCAGTGTGAAACGGTTGACTGGTTGGCGTGAGGTGTCTCAGACTCTAAAATTCTCCAGAGAAGTTTCTGTGCAGGTCAGAAACGTTCCTCCTGGGCTTCTCTCCTTGGTTTTTTTCCGCCCCCTCCTGGTGAGATAGAGATGCTGGAACAGAAACAGAACAACTGGTTTGGTGACTTCCCTCTCCACCTTATCTACTCACCAGGTTCTATAACTTTGTACGTTTTAAAAGCCCATTCTTTTCTTTCTCCATTACTTCTGCCCTTAGTCAAGTCTGTTGTGAAAATATCAGACGTGGCTCTTTCCTAAGTTTAACCTTCCACCCATTCCATTAACCATCTCCATTATCCTCTTCTCATTAGATTAATGTTCACAAAGCTATTTCCTACCCTTCATTCCTGCTCAGGAACACTTATGGACTTTCACTGCCAAATCTTTTTGTCTATCATTCAAGGATCTGTACAACACAAGCCCAGGGTACTTCACCACACCTCGTCCTCTTCTCATCTGTATTATTCTCCAGTTGCAGCCATAATGGTCCAATAACTTCATACTTGAGAGGCTGGGAGTGGAGAGCAGAGCTTTTGGAGCAGAGCACATCTGAGTGGAGAAGCCAGGTAGTGGACGGTTGTGGGCAAGTCACTAAATATCTGCAAGCTTCAGATTCCTCATCTATATAATCAGGATGGGATACACCACTGGAGGAAAACACGTAAGAAATGCCTCATGCGTGGTGCTACACTTTAATTATGCAAATAACTTGCATATTACTATCTCCAAAATTTCCCACATGCTCTCCACGTGGGTAGAATGCTCCTCTCTCCAACTCAACTGGGCACCCTTGCATATTTTTTCTGGGTATTTTTCTTAGAAACAAAAGCCTTTTTCTTCTCAGAATTATAGTAAGACAATCGCTCTTAATCGCTCGCGCTCCAGCGTTTGGGGTGAGGGCTTCTGAATTACTGTGAGAGACTCTCGCTGTCTGTAGGAACACGAAAGACACGGTAGATAATGGACCTTGCATATGCAGGCATTGCTACATATACAGCTATCGTGATTATCAGAATACTGTAGACAATTCTTTAAAATCATTGAATTTATGTATTTTCTCTGTTGGGATATGAAGACCATCACATGGAAGTGGAACTCTGATGTTCCACTTAAGAAGAGTGGGAACCTACTGCTGTAGGATTTATTTTCTCTAAACAACTGATCTTTATATAACTTTCCCTAACCTTTTCTGTGTTTGTATCTTCCCTTGACTACTGGGTCATAAAATCTAGAGAGGGTGTGACAGAATTCACACTTCTTCACATGCCTCCACACAGTGCTTAAACTGCTGTGTAGTTGAAGGTATGGTTTGAAATGCTTACTCAGCGGCAAGCTGGAAGTTGTCAGTTCAATCAAAAACAACAACAACAACAAAACAAGGAAAAAGAAACGCTTCTGGCTCAGAGAAAGTGTGTGTGTGTGTGTGTGTGTGTGTGTGTGTGTGTGTGTGAATGTGAAGGTGGTGAGGACTCATGCTCCTTTTTGGGACACTTAACAACCAGGCCTGGCTCAGCTACCCAATAGAAAAGAATCCTCTAAGGCACAGCCAGGCTTAACTTTGGTCTTCCTGGCAGGTTGGGGGTGGGGGGACTCCTAGACCTAGGCCTAGGAAGCAAATAGATTTCAGTGGAAATTTCCTACCTCCTGCCCTCCCCAACCCCCCCCCCCCCCGTAGGCCCCTTATCAGGTTCCCCCTGAGTCATCCTAGCCCAGAGACCAATTTAGACTCTGGAACCTTCAGGTCTTTCCCTCCCCCACTCCAAGTAAGACTACTTTAGACACATCAAAGCAGCATGCAGGTGAAAGTCCTGTCTGGGTTGCTTCTTCCCCAAGTTCTTCCAGGGCTGCTAGCCTCTCCTGTTAGGCACCTGTAGCCAGAATCCTAATTCCATCAGCCTTTTCCTTGTCTAGGAGAGTGCTAAACTGCTGCTTCTGCACCAGTTTCTTGGAAATAATTATGAAGGGAGGGAGTTGAAGGGGACAGAGGGAACCGGGTACCCCAGATTGGGGGGATACAGAACTCCCCCACTCCCAGATTTAGGGTTGTTGAAGGTTGGGTTTGAGCCTACACAGTTCTACTCTGGGTCCCCTCCTCCCTTTTGGCCTCCTCTCCTTTCCAATAGACCTGCCAAGTGGGGATGAAAGGGGCATTGATGTTCCTTGGTGGGGGGGAGTGTGGGTGGTGGTGGGAGGGTGGTTCCCAGGCAGGAATAGGGAGGGCAATTTGGGGGTCTTCGGGGAGCCATCTGTGCTGGTGTTGCAGTTGGCAGCTCAGTTCCATTGGTCATTGTTCCCAACTGGCCTGGTGCCCAGCCCCCGAAATGGTAACTCAGGATCCAGGCTGAAGGGGGGATGGGGTGGGGATGATCCCCGGAGGGGTGGGGAGTTCAAAGGGGGGCAGGTAGGAGGAAATTCGATCTGATTTCCTTTCGCTTAAGAAGACTTTTAACTCGCTTAGCTTTAACATCGAGGATCCCATTCCGCGAACCCTTCCCCTGAGGGGCACAGGGCACATCGCGTGGGTGCCACAGTGTGGCAGTGAGGCAGTCCAGGACGGCAAATCCATCTAGGCACCAGGAGAGTCACCGTCGCCAGGGCAAGGCAACCTAGCCAGTCTGAGCCGGTCTCGCCCTCCTTTTCTGGGCCGGTCTGAGTGCCGAAGCCACAGGGTCTCTTGGGTCCCAGCCCGGGGACACAGCGTCCTCCCTAAACCCCTACTCTACCCACGCAGGGTTAACCCCGCCCCCGCGCCTGTTTATCCGAGTCATAACCCTTGGGGGGGGTCCCCGGCCCCTCCCCCGCACCCTCCCGGGTGGGGCCCTGACCCGGGAGTCCCTGTGGGCCATCCTCCCCCTTCCCCGGCCTGCGATGGCCCTCTATTTATAGCGGCCCCCCGCGTTCCCCGCCCCCCCTGTTTGTTGTCCAACTTCTCCGGGAGCAGGCGGAAAGCAGGCATCGGGACGCTGCGGAGAGGAGGTACCGGGACCTGGACGCCTGGGAGCCGACTCCCCCAAGCCCACTCGGGGCTGACTGGCCAGACCCCAGCGTCCTCGGCGCCGAGTTTGCCCCTCCTTGTTTCCGGACTGGCGGAGTCGAATCGTGGGGTGTCAGTACCTTGGGCGTCTCCCCGCTGCCGTCCCCACCACTGAGGTTGGGGACGAAGGAAGGGGCCAGAGCGCGACAGCCCGATCTAGGTCGTGGGAAGAGGCGGTGTTGTGGGAGAGCGTGGGGATCCCTGGCATGGTCCAGGGGTCCCCACGCACAGCCCCTGCTTCCCCGCTGGGGCAGCTTGCGGGGAGCGCAAGCAGAGCTGGAAGCACCCAGCTGTCCGTGCAGCCCAGAGCCCCCCGCGCACCCCCTCCCGGAGCGCACAGGCCGGGCGGGGCGAGCGGGGCGTGTTTTGGGGTCCGGGGTGGGCCTGCTGGGAGGGGAGTCCGTGGGCGGGCTGAGCGGCCTGGGCGGGGCGGGGCGGGTCTGCGGGGAGCCCCAGCCGGGGCGGGCCCCAGTCAAAGACAAGTGAAGGTGGCGGCGGCCACGGCGGCAGGTAGGGGGAGGGGCGGAGCGGCCGCGGGCTGCGGGGCGCCGGCGGGGCGGGCGGGCGGAGTGGCCCCGCCGCTCGGAGGCCGCGGCTGGGAAGGGGCTGCAGGGGAGGGGGCGCTCGGCTGCTGCGCACGAGGCGGAGGCTCTGCCGTTCAGGGCGTGTGTGGGGGCGTGATTGCGGCCCGGTGCGGGGCTTCGCGCGCCCGTCGCGCGCGGGGTCGGTCCCCGTTGGGTTGGCGGCGCAGGGCACTCACAGGACAGGTCCGGGTGCCGGGCCCGGCAGCCTCCGAGTCCTGCCACCCCTTCCCAGCTGGCGCGCGGTCTCGCGGGCCGTCGGGGAGGCTGGCAGACTGTGGGACCGCCTCCGCCTCCCGAGGAGGCGCGAGGCTCACCTAGTTTGTTTTGAAATGGTGGAGGGAAGCAGGCCTGCTCTCTACCCTCATCTCCGTGGGGCGCTGTCAGCACTCTCAGGGTCTCCCAGCCCCTCCCCCTCTTTTTACTTTGCGGAAAGGAAATTAAATCGTTAACCGACAGAGCCAAGGTCATGCTGTTAGTGGCAGGCAGGGCTAGAACCCAGAGCTTTCACACACACTGTTCCTCCACATCAGCACTGTCTTCTCGCCACCCCCCTTCCCCACTTTGCTCGGTGTGGCCCCAAGTGCCTGTCCAGCTGGTATTGATTGTTCTCTGGACCTAGGGGTAGAGATGGGGAGGGTTAATGACCTGGGGAGGGCTGGTAACACTGGGAGTCTGGGTCTTGGCAGAGGCTTTCTGTCCGTAAAAGACCCGTGATCTGTCTCCTGTGTCATTCCGATGCCCTATGTCATTCACCTCTTTACTGTGTTTTTTCCAGAGTTTCAGGAGGGGAACCCTGACCCCAACCCCTCTGTATCCAGCCAATAGGAGCCCAGTAAGTGGCCCCACCCCCAGGCTGCAGCCTGCCACCTGTGCAGGTCTCCTCTGGTACTCAGCTCCCCTGTGGACCCCTCAGCACCTTCAGTGTTATTTGCAGTTGGGAGGGAAAGTCAGGAGTCATGGGAGAATGCAGGCCTTGGCTGGATTTAGATACTTACGTTCCTCTGTTGTTGTGTCCCTACCACGTTGGTCATTGCTTGGGGCAATTTTAGGCCTTTTCTCTTTGAGCCACGACCTTGAGGATTTAGTTGAAGATCACAGTCAGTTGTGAACTCTCACTACCCTGTTCCTTGGTTCCTTTGAGTACCCAGTCACTGAGCCTGCTGCCTAACTGGGAGTGTGGGGTATCCCCTAAATATAGCCTGGGAAACAGGAGCCACACTGCTGCTTCACTCTGGAACTGTGTTTCTGTCCAGGATAGGGGGAAGAGGAGGTTCAGAGGGGTGTGTGTTGACGGATGACTTGGGGGAGAACTGGTGTCCTCATTTGTCTTGCTAGACCCCCCCCCCTTCCTCCTCCTTTAAAATGGAACTGGGACAGGAAATGCCCTCTGTGTGCAGTCCAAGTCCTGGACCCTTCTGTACCTGCATTGCAGGGGGCTGAGAGGGGAAACTGGGGCTCGAATAGGTGTGAGGCAAGCATGCATCTCATTTCCTTATCCTGCCAGGCCACCATGGCAGAATTACAGGAGGTGCAGATCACAGAGGAGAAGCCGCTGTTACCAGGACAGACACCAGAGGCAGCCAAGGTTAGGGGAGACCCTCTGGCTTCCCTGCCTGAATCCCAGACTTCTGAACATCTCCCTTGCCATCTGGTTTCCCAAGCCCACAGACCCTTCCTCCACGTCTACCATCTCTTGTCCCATATGACACCTTGTCTTGTCACTACACTAACCTTTATCCTCTCCTGTCTCTGTGTCGATTTGCTTCTGTCTGTGGTCTCTGTCTGCCTTCCTTTCTTTGTCTTTCTTTCCATCTGTGACTTTGTGGTTGTGTATGTGTGTGTGTCTGCTTGTCTGTCTGTCTCTCTAGGAGGCTGAGTTAGCTGCCCGAATCCTTCTGGACCAGGGACAGGTAATGGTGGGGGGCAGTCCCAGGGTGGGAGGAAGGGCTCTTTCTTCTCCTTGTATTGAGAGTGCTCTACTTGGCCCTGTGTTGTCTGACTTTTCTCCACCTCCCCGTTCTCCCCTTCCCAGAGTTCTGTGATATTCTCCAGTCTTTCATTGTTTTCTACCCATCTCCTTCAGTCATGTTTTAAAATTCTTGCTGTGATCCTATTTTTTTTCCTTTTTCCTTTTAATTCTCCTGTTTGCCCCACCCTCTGATTTGTGTAGACCTTTAGCCTTTTCCCTGACGGTGCCCTGTTTCCTACAGACTCACTCTGTGGAGACGCCTTACGGCTCTGTCACCTTTACAGTGTATGGCACCCCCAAACCCAAACGCCCAGCGATACTCACCTACCATGATGTGGGACTCAACTGTAAGGACCTTCATTTTCCCTCCCCCACCTCCTTTCTGGGAAGAGGCTGGGAGGGGAAGGGTAAAGCCCAGAGCCAGGGGATGGTCAGCTGGGCAGGCGATTAGATGCCCAGTGGCTTGTAAAGCAGTTCTCTCCTAAACTTCCTGGCATCAAAGCTAGAGGCTGGGTCCAGACATGGGGATACTTTTGCCTGTCTGATTCTGTTGTTGGTGTGATGTGGGTTCTCTTTAGATAAATCTTGCTTCCAGCCGCTGTTTCAATTCGGGGACATGCAGGAAATCATTCAGAACTTCGTGCGGGTTCATGTGGATGCCCCTGGAATGGAAGAAGGGGCCCCTGTGTTCCCTGTGGGGTGAGAATTAGCTCTTTACTCTTCACCAGACCTGGAGGCCCAGCGCACATGCCGGGAAGAGGGGACCAGGGAGGAGAAAAGAGAAAGCAGCAGTGCATCCGGGAGAGGGAATGGAGCGCACCCGGAGGTGCAGGGTGCGGGCACAGCTTGTGTCCTAACGTTGCTGTCTTCCTAGGTACCAGTACCCGTCTCTGGACCAGCTTGCAGACATGATCCCCTGCATCCTGCAGTACTTAAAGTGAGAGGCCTGCGGACCCTTCCAAGTTAAGAGTTTTCTTTTCAGGACAGGAACCGCTTAACAGCTCTGTGTCCAGCATGGTTCCTGGGCTAGTTCCAATCTCTGTCCTTGACATTTTCTTCTTTTCTTTTTTCTCTCCTTTCCTTTTCTATTCTCCTTTCTTCTTGAGACAGGGTCTCACTATGCAGTTCAGGCTGGCCTTGAACTTGAAGAGGTTCTTCTGCCTTCCCCTCCCAAAAGTTGGGATCCCAGGCATGCACCATGGCTGGCTTGTCCTTGATACTTCCTTTCTCTTCTGTGGTTTCACCTTACATGTTGAAATAGAGGGTGGCGGGTTTGGAAAACTGATTAGAATCAGTAGTATAGCTGTAATAGATTAAGAGAAGGAAGAAGAGGTCTGTGCTAGGCCCTGCTGCAGGCTGAGGACCGGATCCTCAGATCTTGAAGCTAGACAGGAACAGGTGGCGGTGAGCTGCTCCCTGGAACCAGATGGACTTGTCTCTTTCCTGCCTACTCCCCCACCTCCAGGCACACACCTGGTGAACTAGGGGTTGTGTGTGTCAGAGAGTGGGAGAAGGAAGAGAAAGTCACAGGGGAAGGTACTGACTGCAGGGCCCTGGGTGTGGCCTGGTGTTTTCTGGCTCTCAGCAGCTCTGATTCAGTTCCTTGCCTCTGTTTCCCCATTCTCTCTGTTTGCTAAAGTTGTGTTTGTGTTCATATCTTGCATTAAGTTCTACTCTTCCCATTCCTCTAGAGGAACCAGGAAGCAGAACAGGTTAAACTAGCAGCTGACAGGTGAGGGTGGACAAAGAGCTATGTGTGTAGGCAAAGAGTGTCTGGTTGGTAGGTTAAGGTAGGAGCTCGCCAAGAGGAAGCTGGGATGGATGTCAGAGATCTCCACTGACTCCACTGACTACTGGTGCCTACCTTTAGCGCCTTGGTACTTGTCTATTTACATAAGGAAGGTCCATTGCTGTCCTTTGTGCCTGTGGGCTGGGGAAGGAGGGTGAGACCTTTGAAGAAACTGGGCTGTGACAGGTGTTAAATACTAATACAAGACATCCGTTTCCTTTTTATAGTTTCTCTTCAGTCATTGGCGTTGGTGTTGGAGCTGGAGCCTATGTCCTGTCGCGATTTGCTGTAAGTGATAGAAATTTCTGAACGGGGTAAAGGAGGGTCCTGGCTGATTAGGAGACTGTTGCTCATTACTATATTTCAGTGGGGTGGGTGATTAAAGGAGAGGAGATGAGGATGAGAAGGCAGACCCTGGGGGGGCCCCAAGGTGGGTGGAGTGCACCGAGAGAGAATAAGGCCACGTCCTCTCTCTGATTTCTTTTCTTCTGTGCCTCTCAGCTTACCCACCCGGACACAGTCGAAGGTCTTGTTCTCATCAACATTGACCCCAATGCCAAGGGCTGGATGGATTGGGCAGCCCACAAGGTTTGGAGGGCCCTGTGTTTGGGAACTTTCCTCGGGTGGGTCCGGTTTGATTCTACTAGTATAACTGAGTGGACTCTGAACTTCAGAGAGGAGATGAGGCAGGAATGAGAAGCTGTCAGTTTGTCTGGTTCTCTTCTCCCTGTAATGTTCTGAACCTGCTTTCCCGCCCTTTCCTTGTAGTTAACAGGCCTTACCTCTTCCATTCCGGAGATGATCCTTGGCCATCTTTTCAGCCAGGTAGGTGATTGTGAAAAATGGGAGGAGTAGAGGGACCAGCAGGTACTTGAATGCTTGGGATGACTTCCTTAGCTAGAAAAGGATCTGGGCAGGGAAGAAAGCTTGCCTCTTTTTATCCAGTAATTGTCAACTTTTCTTCCCAACCCTAATTTATCTCTTCTTCTTCTTTAGGAAGAGCTGTCTGGAAATTCTGAGTTGATACAAAAATACAGAAATATAATTACGCATGCACCCAACCTGGACAACATTGAACTCTACTGGAACAGCTATAACAAGTAGGTGGGCTGTGTGGAAGCATGTGTGAGAATTGTCAAAGGTCCGGGTGGTAACTGGGGTGGTGGGAGGCATAGAGGACGGAGAGTCTCTGTAGTACATAGTGTGCACCAGGGATTTGCCGTGTGAACAGCTTTAGGACAGACTCAGCAGGGAGAATTGTGAGACACCATCCCTTTTCTGTTTATCTCATGGATTTTTGGGTTCCCAGAAGTAGGGTGATCTCTTATTTTGGTGCCTTTTCTGGCCTTCACTACCCTCTGACCAGGGGTGCAGGGCACAGTGGCAGTAGTGTGTGTGCTTGGATTCTGCCTGCTGTATTCTCCGTTGGTTTCCACTTTTAATCACTAGCATTTGACCATAAAGAAGGCAGATAGTTTCCTGGCAGAGGGATGGGGTGGGGGAGGATCTTATATCTGGATAGGTAGTATTCCTTACTAAAATTCTTCCTTTTTGAACTCCTCTCTAGCCGCCGAGACCTGAATTTAGAGCGAGGTGGTGACGTCACCCTCAAGTAAGACTTAGATAATGCTTTGTGTCTTTCCTGGTTCTGCTTGAGGGACTTATATCCCTTAGAACAGTGATGGCGAACCTTTAGAGCTTTCAGTGATAACAAAACAGCCAGCTGTGGCCCACGTGCCATGAGTTCGCCTTCATTGTGAAGGAGTGTCTTGGTCAGTCCTGGCACTGTGCACCCCATCCTTTGTAGCCAATCTTTTCCCTTAAGGACTCCTCCCTTGAATCCTCTTGGTGGGACCAGCCAGGGAAAAGAAGCCTGGTTCCAGCTCTGAGCCTGACATTTCCCCAGATACTCTGCTGGGAGGGCTGGGCGAAGCAGTAGGAGGTCTCACGGCCTTCTTCCTGACATCGTGCTGTAGGTGTCCTGTGATGCTGGTGGTAGGAGACCAAGCACCCCATGAAGATGCAGTGGTCAGTAGGAGATTTGGGGGTGGTGAGGGATGGTTGGGGTCCGAGGGTGGTGATCAGGAGTATATCTTGCCAAGAGGCAAGCTCTGTTTGGTAGAGGGAAATCAACTTTGGGACATTAAAGATTTGATTTCTGGTGAGGAGGAACTGGGTAGGGGCTAAGCAGAAAGAGACTAGGGGCAGGGTCCCTTGGCCAGGAATGGCCACAGCGCGAGTGAGCTCATTCATTCAAACCTCTGCCTACTCCAGGTGGAGTGTAACTCAAAACTGGACCCCACCCAGACCTCGTTCCTGAAGGTCAGTAACCCTACCCCCTGCTCAGCCTGCCTCCTGGCCTCCTATCCAGAGCCATATATCCTCTCCAAACTCAGCTTCCAAGCCTTCCAGTTTTGCATAAGCAAGTGGGATGAAGGGAAGAAAGAAAAAACAAATGGGCTGGAGGCTAGGAAAGAGTGGCCCTCTTCTGCCTCTTTGCAAGGATCACATGATTTATACGTGTGTCATTTTTTTCTGGGTGGCTTTCTGACGAGCAGATGGCTGACTCTGGAGGTCAGCCTCAGCTGACTCAGGTAAGTACCTTGCGGGACACACACCACACCACATTCCAGGGTCAAGGGCTCTAGCTTGGCCTCTAACCTCACCTTCCTGTCTCCCTCTTCTTGTCTTACCTCTGCAGCCAGGCAAGCTGACTGAGGCCTTCAAGTACTTCCTGCAAGGCATGGGCTACAGTGAGTACGGGGACCCAGGCGATCGTGACAGGAGAGCATGTGCACTGAGGGGCAGAACCGTTATAGGTTAATCCCCAGACTCACTGCCACTGCAGAATCAGGCTCATCGACTCCCAGGCCTGCAGTCGTGGTTTCACTCAAGCACTGTACTCTTGAGTTGCCAGCCTCCCTGCCCCGTTCCTCTCTGACCGCTTGCCACCCTTGTGTCTCCACAGTGGCCTCGTCCTGCATGACTCGCTTGTCAAGGTCTCGCACAGCCTCTCTGACAAGTGCAGCATCCATGGATGGCAACCGGTCTCGCTCCCGCACCCTGTCTCAGGGCAGCGAGTCTGGGACTCTCCCTTCAGGGACCCCAGGGCACACCATGGAGGTCTCCTGTTGAGTGACCCATGTCGCTCTGATGTGGGACCCAGGCCTCACCTCCTGCAGCACTAACCTTGGAGGTGCATAAGGGCTTTGGGTGACAGGAAGCAAGGATAAAGGGCAGATCACATGAGATGACCTTGATCTTTTGATTGCTACCCTAACCTTGACCTTTAACCTGTGATTTCCCTACTCCTGGGAGAGATGTCCTAATATCTCTTAGGGACCCAGACCCCTGAATTATCCCCTCTTCCGTTTTGGCATTGTGGAGAAGGCATGTACCCTCCCTCCCTGGTCCAGGTGTTGGTGGATGAGGGATAAGAGGCTGTTGTAGTTGTCATGGTGCCTCCAGCAGACTCGCCCCGCTCATCTCACACATGTAAGGGCGGGGACTTAGGGCTGGAGCTCCTTTCACCAAAGCTGATGCGGCTTCTCATTAACCCTTCAGGCCCCCAGGGAATGGCCTAAATGAATGTGTGTCTGTGTGTGTGTGTGTGTGTGTAAGAGAGAGAGAGTCTTGGGTTAGTGGTTGTCAGGATGTAATAGAAACATCCTGTGTGTTAAACAGAAGTTGGAATGGGAACTGGTGGGCCGTGAGTGAGTATGGTGGAAGGACTGGAGCAGGGGCAGTGGGAAGAGGCCTGGGGCCATTTGGCTGCACTAACTCTGGTAGCTGTCAGTGCGTCTAGAGTGGGGAGAGGGAGGGAGCCAACCGTGGCCCGGTCTGCCTGGGGCTTGGCAGTAGGGTGGGAAGGATCACCCTGGGTGTCTGACCACATGGTTACATGTGGCAGGTGGCTTCCTGTCTCCCCCATCTTCTGCTGTGACAATAAACTGTAGAGGAATCTGTGCACATGATTATTCTTGGTCTGAGTATACCTGCATCATGCCCCTTTCCTACCCTTGACTCGCACAACTCTCACATTCTCTTCTCAAAGTGACAAACACTTCATAAAATGTGACCACAATGGGACAGGCCCCTGTTCTAGAATGGTACTGTTCTTGGTAATACTTTTGAAGTTGGAGGAGAGGAATTGCTTACATTGTAGAAGACTTCCTTAGCAGGTTAGACTCACTGAGGAAGAATACACAATTTCAGAGATAATACCAACATCATGATCTTTGAGAAGTAAAGAAAGCTGACTGAAATATTCAAGAACGTCTTGCAACCCACCATGTTGTAGGATGCTACTAGGGGCTACCTGGATTCCTCTTTTCATGAGTCAGTACAATCAGCAGACCAGGACTCATTACAGGGCTTGGGTGCTTGAAGCCATCCTGAAGACTTCCAGGAGGGTCATAGCAAAAGGTGGTGTATGTGTGTTGGGGGTATTCCTCTCTAGAATTCTCTTCCCTCATGGAGTCCTTGGAATTGGGAGCTAGTTAGACTATATTTGTAGTCTCTAAGCTTTTTAGCATATGTGAATCACCAAGAGGAAGGAGGAATTTAGATACCTAATGGCTAGAAGTTGATTCTTGGGTTCTTGGGACATGAAAATTTGAAGGCACTTAATAGCATTATTGGCAGGAGTGCTGTGCATGGAGTACTACAAGGTCATTACAGGTTTACTTTATAGAAACTCCACGGGCAATTAGACACCATCTCGGTGAACACTTGGACGAGGACCAGTGCAGCTGGATGTCTGATGCTGACACACTAATTTGTAGTGAGCCACAGGCTATATGTTGGATTTTTAAATTTTATTTTTTTGCAGTACTGGGGATTGAACTCAAGTTTTACAGAAGGTAGGCATTTATTGTGCCACTGAGCTACCTTGAGACATGGTCTCACTAAGTTGCCCAGCTTGGTGGGATGACAGGTATATGTTACCTGTTTGTTCTTGAGTTGCCACCCCAGTGCTGGGCATCAAATCCAGGACTGTGAGCATACTGAGAAAGCATTCTATCTATGAATTACATCCCTGGCCGTGAGCCCATTTAAATATGGTGGGGCTCAGTAGCACAAACACCTGCTTGGCAAGTGCAAGGTCCTGAGTTCAATTCCTGGTACAAAACCAAAAGCCTATTATAGTAAGGTGAGAAACAGGAGGGGATAAAGGAAGGAGGAGGGATACTGAGGTATTAGAGGTCAGAGGGGTTATGGAGCTAGCTGTTGCATGGATGTAAGGTGACCATGTGCAGGGCAGACATGAAATGCTACATAAAGAATAGAAACAACATGGGTTTTGGAATCAGGGTCAGTCGCTCCTAGCAAAACATGCCAAGCACTGCAGCCAGCGTCAGCGTTTACTGGCAACACCAATAGTGCGTTATGGGACGGAAGGCAGGTTTTTTCGGGTTATCTGAGTAACACGGGCAACACTGTTAGCGGGGGAAATCACAAATGGGAGCAAGTTATTCTGAGTACGCGTGTGCACATAATAATTTGTCGGTTGTGTGAAAGGGGCGTTGACTGTGTTTCTCCTGCAGATGTCTCTGCACAAGAAATCTGAAGAGTTAGTAAAAGGAAAGCTGCTGTGCTGGGAGGCAGAGCGGGGTTTGCTGTCCTTGACTGACCTCCCCACTTTGTTGGTCCTAGAGTTCTTCTCCTGCCTCTGGAGACATAGTGCCCTCCTGTGGCTCACAGCATTTTTAATAACTTGTGTGTGTGGCTTTGCTCTGTGGCTCTGCCTGGTAGTTATAGGAAGGTCCTGATACCCACGGCTTGTTTCCATTCTCAAGATCAGAGCTCAGAGCCTGGTGGCAGGGTTTGATAGCACCAGAACCACAAACTTCCCCTGTTTTGTCTGCTTCAGGTGTAGGACTCCCATTTATTCTGTTCCTCCATGCCGAAGGAATGTGCTCAAGACAGGCTCAAGACAGTTCAAAGAATATTCAATGGGAAGGAAATAAAACTAGAGTAGGCTGAAGAATCTTTGTGCTTTAGCTTGAAAATTCTGTGTCTCACAAAGAGATTTTTCCAGGGCGAGTCTCTGAAGATAGAATCATGTGCCACGGTACAGCGTTTGTTCAACTTGGGACCACACAGGAGACAGATTCCGTAAGATTCTATTGCCTAATGATCTTACAGCTTTCTCGGTTTGTGTAAACACATTCCAGGATGTTCACACAATGACAGAATCACTTAATGATGCATTTCTTAGAACGTTTTTCATTAAGTAACATCTGACTACCTACGTCAACAGTAAAAATGTAATGTTAAACCTTGGAGAGTAACCTAAGGGGAAATGTCGGAGTGGGAGACACCACTTTTTTAGAGAGCTCTTTGGGTTATTTGGAAATGACAGTTCTCATGAGAGGCCAGAGGTGCGGTACCCAGAGCAAAATCATTTATTTATGCTCACTTTTTTCACTAACATCAGAATTTTTCCTGAATTAGATATGCATATAAAAAATAGAATGCATTCTGTATTGGACACGCAATAAATCTAAAGACAGCAACTCTAAACAATTACAATTTAAAAGCTGAATCTCTGACTGGTGTCTGTGTAAGCTCGCCCTGGACCGGTACGAGGGTGCCTTTCCTTTGCGCCTTCCCCGCATTTAGGTGTTGACGTGAGGTCTGGGTGACAGGTGCACCCACGATTGCCAGCCCACTCCCGTCCTGGTGTCCTGTGCTGTCAGGCTGGAGCCTGGCGCAGGGGCCCATTTCCTGCTGTGAGGATGCCAGGGAGGCAGAACCCCCACCTGCCTTTTCCCCTTCCTTCTTCTTTCTCTTCCTCTTCTCCCTTTTTCTCTCTCTTTTCTTTTCTTTTTCCCTCTCTTCTTCCTTTCTTCTTTCTTCTTTCTTTCTTTCTTTCTTTTTTTTTTTTTTTGGGACAGAGTCTTGCTATGTAGCTCAGGCTGGCCTCGAACTCACAGCTGGATTAGGGGACAGCGCCCCCACCTCCACCCTGAAACTGTCCTTTAGGAAGGGCCAAGCAGCACAGATGGGCTCAGGACAGGGGCTGTTTTTTGTCGCCGTATCTTATGAGACGTATTTTAACCCCCTATGTTGATTTCAGACCTTGTCCCCTGCTTCTGCAAATGCCCTAAAGTGCTTTCTCTCGGATGTGATTCCCCATCTTTCTTTCTTAATAAATTGTCCTTCTACAACTGCAGCACCCGAGCCAAGCCATCAGCTTAAGAGCAGAGGTTGACTTCAGAGTGATTACTCATGGCAGCACTGGAACGCTTACCCCCAAGAAGCAGTTGCAGGGCTAGTTCTGGTTTCTTCCTGAGTATAAAAAAATCCAGGTGTGTAAGGAGAAAACAATGGATGGGGACAGGTGACAGTGATGGAGATGTGAAAATTGCCCCACATAAATTTTTGCCTGATTATCTCAACTAGCTGCCCCCCACCTCTCTTCCCTCCTGCACCTCTTCACTCCTGTTCTGTTCACACTCATAATCCTGCTTACCTCCTGCTGCAGGCCGCTGCTCGCTGCTGGTCACTGCGCTCAGCCTCCCTCCTGTCCGTGGCCCTTAGGCCTCTTCTTACTCCCGCATTCTTGCTTTGATCACCTCTCACCTTCTGTAGCCTTATGGTTCTCTCTAGCCCTTCTTTGGGCATTCATGTCTTTTGAAACTGTTCAAGATATTGTTTGCTTTCCCTGGTATTCTCAGCTGATACTTTCAATATGGAGTCACCCTCTAGTTTTATTCCAGCTCTTGGTACAACAGGATGCAAACTCAAGGTGATTCTGGGCTTAGCTGATAAGAATTTGGGGGAAAGGAAACAAAACAGGCTTGGGGAGAAAGGAAAGCGTTGACAGCTAAATGCAGAAGAGTTTAAGGGAATGAATCCAAGGCTTCTGGCACTGAAGAAGGCAAGACGTACATGATTCATCAGGGCTTAAAATAGCCTAACCACCGCCCCATTTACTTCAAATGCTGATGGCATTAGTGACCCAGAAACACTTGGGGGAAAGTCTTGCTAGTGGAAAGTACTTCTTTGGAAGTCTGTTTTCTATAGTGTTATGTCCTGGAAATAGCTCTGCTGCTTTCATATGATCGTGTTCCTTTTTTTTTTTTTTTTTTCTTTTTTGAGACAGGGACTTGCTATGTAGTTCTTTTTTCTTTTTTCCTTTTTTCTTTTCTTTCTTCTTTCTTTCTTTTTTTCTTTCTTTCCTTCCTTCCTGCCTTCCTTCCTTTTTCTGTCTTTGTTTTGGAGATAGAGTTTTACTATGTATTGCAGGCTGGTCTTGAATTTGCTTTTGTATCCCAGGATGGCATGAACTCACTGTGAAGTCCAGGCTGTCTTTGAACTCATGACAATCCTCCTGCCTCTGCCTTCCAAGTGCTGAGATTACAGGTGTGCACCACCACACCAGACAATCATGTTCCTTTTGATCCACCCTTGGAAAAGTCCTGGCAAGATCACTTAAATTGAAAGCACAGAACAGTTACACCCCATGAAGCTGGCCTGTCTGCAACATAGGAACAGACCTTTTTGTACCCTGGCTTCTTAGGTTTCCCAGTAAGACACTGGCAGTAGATCAAAGAACAGGAGAGTGAAGTTATTCCTGGGCTCTGCTTGTTGAGTCCCTGTAGCTGGCTACGTTCCTCTACTAAGGCTATTTCAGTTTCTGATAACCTCTCCTTTCTCTTCAGTAGAGGTAACAGCGTTGTTTACACTCAGACCCCGGGGTATTGCGTCATCATTTCTCTCCTTGTCAAAATCTTGTGCACATACCTTACTAAACACTCTTGCTTACCAGATTTGCCTCTGTTATCTCATGCACTACTGGTTGTCTTCTTCTGGGATCCTAACATGAGAGAATGGGAGATGGGGATGAGGGTTAAAGCTAAATGAGAAGAGAATCTGCATATTGAGCACTTAAGAATCATGGAAACATGGGTTCAAAGACCAGAGTACTAGGTGATCAAATTATTTAGCTTTCTTGAGTGCTAGTTTCCTTGGGCATACTACAGAAATAGTGTTTACCTATCAGAGCTGTGAAAATGAGATACGGAACACAAAAGCAGTCATAATACAGTGTCAGGCACAGAGTGGTGCTCACTCAGTGTAGAGCTCCGATATATTATTACACACCTAGCATGGTGCAGAGTTATCACATACTCCTGCATTCAGTACATAGGAAAAAACCATGAGACGATGCTGCAGAAAAATTTTCCTGTGTTTGGCACATTTGTATATCTATCCATCTGTCGATTGTTGTGTATCTGTTTTTGCTGGAAGCTGATTCCTAGGTGTATAGGCTGGACTCTAAGGAAGCACAAATATTTAATTCAGAGGGAGAGAAGCGAGGTGAAAAGGAGACAGACCAAGGGAAGAATGGACTCTGTGAAGCTCCTTTGAGTGTTCACACTAAACATCGCAGAAGGGGGAAACTTTGAGGATGAGTGAGCTCCTGGAGTGTATCTTCTCTTTCCTTATGTCTCCACTAACTCCCTGCGACACAGTCCTGCATCTCTAAGCAGTGTGGGCTGGGCCGTAGTCATCTTGGTCCTCAATTCCAGTTAACCTGCTTTTCTGTTCATCCTTAGCAACACTATTATTATTATTTTTCCTTAGCAGTTTTTATGGGAAGCAACACATTGCAAGTATTTCTCAAACTGGAAGGCAATTGGTAGGGCGGGCACAAAGAAAGCTCTACGGGAGCCAAGTATTCACCCCACCGGTTTACCTGGGGCCTTTTCCCAGCTCCAAACACTGTTATTTAATCCTTCAGTCTAAGGCAGCCAGAAGACAAGCTCAAGAGTAACAATAGTGTTACTCCCAGGAACCCCTGGGAGCTCTGTGTGAAAAACAATAGGAGTTTAACAGAAACAGCCCAGGAAGCCTGGTGCCCTGCAGCCTGCTGGGCACACCAGGGATGCAGAGAGGGGGGACTGGGGAATGCCCGGAAGGGATTGGTGGAGGGAAAAAAAAAGGCTCCTCTCTGTTAAAAGCCCTTTCCCTTTAAACACTGAGAGGTTGATTCATTTTCTCACCTTCTGTCAGAGAAGGTAGACAGAAGCTTTTCAGAAGTGCTTTCTTATCTGGGGGCAGGGCCTGCATGGACAAAATGGATAGGGGCTCTGATTCCAGAAGATGATAATGCGACCAGCACTCACCCTTCCCATTCCCTGTTCTACCACCTCCTACAGGCAGCTTCTAGGCAGCAGGGAAAAATGAAACACAATATGGCTGGGGGGGAGGGGTCAGATGGGCACTTTATTACACATAGTGGTACAAATTGGAAAAGGTAAATTGGAGTGCTGGTCATTGTGTCAGTCCTCCAATTAACAGGTATTCAAACCACATCCTTTTCTCAATTTGAGTGAGAGATGGAATTTCACGTAGGAAAAAGCTGGAGTCTAGTTCATGGACATGATGCCTGATGAATGTCATTGTCTTAGTACAAAAGTGTCTGTGCGCCAAAGCCACTTGGGAAGTGTCCCTTGTGGGTAGAGAGAGTTCCTTACAAGTGGATAGATCCACCAGAAAAGTCAGGAATCGCTTAGGCCCACAAGGCAATAAAGGCCATGAAGGTGAAGCCAGCAGCTACACAGCCCCATTTAGCCAGAGGGCCCTCACAGCTACTTAGCTCCCGGGGCAAGATTTCTAGAAAAGTCACATACAGGAATGTGCCAGCTGCAAGACCCTCCAATATGGCCTGGGCTAAGCCCTTCCACCCTTCAGGGTCCCCTGCAGCTATGGTCATCCCTAGGGCTAGGCCCAAAGGGGACATGAAAGCTAATGACAGTATGGAGGCAATGGCCCATCGAGACCCAGTGCCTGTCTTTATCAGCCGCAGCGAGACACCAAACACTACAAGCCCCTTATGAGCCAGAACGGCAAGACAGAGCTGTATAGTAGCTGCTACGGTTGGCTGGAGCCCCACGGCTAGCCCTTCAAACACTGAGTGAAAGGAGAGGGAGAGCAAGAGGGCGAAGGCTCGAAAGGGACTCTGCTTGGGTGAGCGCGGAGACTCATGGCTGTGGAAATCAAAGACAGGGCCCCCGCCCCATTGCTCCTCCTTCTGCACTGTTGATTGTCCAGCAGCCCCCTGACAGCACTGCAGTGCCAGCGACTCCAAAAGGAAGACAAGGAAAAAGCCCAGGGAGACGATGAGTTCTCCAAAGGGATACTCCACCTGGGGACAGAGAGAGGGCTGTGAGACGGAGGGAGGGGCGACAGCGCAGAGGAGGGACTACAGGACCAGGATCCGGAGAGAGAAGAGCAGGGGAGAAATGTAATGTAGCAAAAAGCGGGTGGGGTAAGAAACCAGAAGGCATGCGGTGGTGAGAGTGCCAGGGGACGAGGGGGCACAGTACCAATAGGGTTAGAAGGATGGGAAGGCAACGGGAAGATGGTCAGGGAAAGAAGGTAATGGTAAAGCAGGAGTTTTTCTGGGGGTCCACAACACCGAAAGACCAGGTTGCTGCATCCTTTCCTCCAAATGGTCTGAACAGAGAGCAGAAGAATTCCTGGATGACTTTCAAAAGGGTCTGGATATGAAAGAACCTGGTTTCTCTCACCCTCCAGGTGGAGGCTGGTAGGAAATACTTACAAACGCTGAGCCAGCATCATTAGAAGAATTTCCCTTGTTTCTTGTCCTATTCTAGGGAGAAAGATGCCAGTATTAGGAGAGGAACAGCTCAACTTCCTGTCTTATCCTTTCAACAGTACTGCTTTTCTTAAAATCCAAACTGACCTGCTTCGCCACTCCACACAGCACAAGAGCTGTTATCTTCCCTGTCGTCTATCCGCGTCCTGGGCGCCATCAGTTTCCTCCCTTGCATCCCTTGGTTGTGTTTATTATTCAGGCCTCACAACCCTGCAGCTTAGCATGGGCCACTCACCTGCCCCATGACCTTCTGGATCTCTGATTCAATTCCTTCCAGGGCTTCAGCAGTCATATGCATGAGACCTGCTCCCAGGAAAACACCAGCAGAAGTACAGCCCAGGAGACTGAGGATTCTCCGATGGTGACCTAATAAAAAAGGAGGAGTTACAATCCAGTTGGTACTGAGATCAGAAATAACAAGAATGAGAGTCAGAATCCAATGTCCTGAGCTTAAGGATGGTCAGAGAATCAGAACAAGGAATCAGGATAGGGTCGAGGTGAGACTCAGGTTTAGGGATGAAGATGGGGTAGGACTCTACCTGTAGCTGCATCCACCTTGAACCATTTGGAGCAGATGGGACCAAGGCCACAGACGAGGGTGAGAGCGAGCACGGCAAACAGGCAGCCCAGCTTTACTCCTGTTAGTGACTCCATCTCTGGAGTGCAGGATAGGCAGAGGCCTCCGAAGGACAAACGTAACTGAAGCAAGCCGTGTCTCAGGTGATCAAAGCTGAAATGTCCCCACTTCCCTGAGTTTCGGGAGCCTGTTGGTATCCTCCAGCTATGGGTTGTCTCTGGCTGAGCAGCAGCATTGTGTAGCTGTCAGGGGCCCTGCCCCAGCTGCCCTCCTCCTCCTGGGTGGAGGCCCCTCCCCTAGCTCACGCCTGTTAGCTTCCAAACCAGAAACTCCAGACTTCCTGCCAGGTATACAGCTCAGTGCTGTCTCCTGTTCGATGCCTTGACTAATCTGAGCGCTTCGGATAATCCAGTTCATGCCTAGGTTGAACATCTGCGTTGGTCTAGCCCCCGATGGGGCAGTCCAGTCCAGAGGTACAGGGGATCACTCAAAACACTTGATCTAATCCTGCCGTATCATCCACTCCATCCCAAGTCTTACAGGTGGCTGTGCTGATACCTGAACTGAACCCTTTCACAGGGGATTTGGGGCCACCTGGGGTAAAGAGGTAGGAGGGCTGAGAGGCATGTTGCTGCCACTCTGTGGGAACTAGTTGGCAAAGGGACTTCCCTGTCCTGTAACTCCAGAAAAATAGCTCCAGGCATACAGTGAAGTAGAGATTCCTAGTGGCGCAACATCGATACTGTCACTTTGACTGTTTGTAACTGAGCCCCATCATAATACAATTTTTTCCTCTTCTAAGAGGTTTGAGCCAGTCTATCTCCTGAAAGTTAAAAAACAAAACAAAATAACAGGCGGACACATTTCCTCTTGACACAGGAAATAAATGTAGCTCCCAGCCTGCTAGATGTCAGATATGCTGTTTGTGTTCCCTGAAATTGAAGAATGAATTTTAAGGAACCATAGAGGTTAAGAATAGGAGATATTTACTGAGAGAAAGAGAGCTCCTGAGGGAACGGAGAAGACCCAAACTGGGTTGTCAATGAGCCACATTAAAAAAAAAAAAATCAACCCACAAAATTTTACAGAAAAATTATGATGTGGGAACAAAATCACAAGTATGGGTCAAAACTGTGACCAACCAATAAGATTACAAATATAACCACTCAGGTAATACTGATCCAAAAGAAAAGCAGGTCACATAGTAAGTGTATATAAAGAGAACAAAGACCTGTTTTAGAAAGGGCTAGACCAGGGCTCTTGGTCACCCACCAGGGGGACTGATGTCTAGACTTTATTAGGCCAGGTGTTACCACTTACCCCTGGGGAGGTGCGTGGCCTACTCATTTCCTCTTTATCTCGAGGCCTGGCTTGTATAGACGAGCCTGCAGCTCCAGTTAGAATGTGTTTTCATTCTCTACACTGATTCCCTCATGCTGCCCATAATATTTTTACATAATTTAGCTGACTACAACAATGCAATCCAGTTGCCTTTCCTACAATTACCAGTTGCTAATCTTTTGTCACACAGAGAGGTTTCTAAGCTTGATTTGCAGAACTATAGATGCTCACTGGTGCCAAAAGTCTGAAATCTCTAATTTTTACAAACGTGTGAAACTACCCATTGTCTGCCTGGACTCTCCCTTCTGTCCCCTGCCCCTTCTATAACTTAACCACACTCACTGGGGTTACACAGACTTGAGACAGCGAGCGGGCAGCCTTTTCAGTCTTGATTAAACTTCTCTATCCCAAGCAGCAGTGTTCCATGATTAGCTGCTACCCATGCATGGGGCACATGAATCTGATTATGGGGTTTGTAATATTTTCTGACATGAACTGTGGGAGAGATTCTTTGAGTTTGAAGATAAAGAACATTGTGCTAGCTATGAAACAATAAGGTGAAGAAAACTGAAATGAACCAAATAAATAGAAGGATCCTACCTGGATATTGTGGTCTTATGTGTCTTATCCATTGCATGTTTTTCTAGGAATTTGTTTTGCTGTCTTGCTATGATTTGTTTTTCCCTATAATACAGACAGGGTAGATATACATGTAGAAATTCACACACAAGAAGATTTTTTAAAAAAACTATTTACGGGAACAGATTATATAATGTAAGATGTAATGAACAGATACTCTGAATAAGAAGAGACACTAAGAAACCCAATGCTAATTCTGTAGCATTATGATATAAAATCTAGCAATATTCTTATTCACTGATCAGAGTGATATTAGTCTAGTCTCTTAAGTTTAATTTCAGCATATGTAAAGATAAGGACAGCTACTACGAAGAGAATGAGAAATGCGATGGTAGTTATTATTGTCTTCCCCAAAGTCAGATCTTGAAGACTTAAAAAGCCTTCATCATCCTGTAATGATTTGATTAGTTCTATAATATGCAGTATGTATTTAATGTGTGTGAAGATGGGGACAACTATTTGGAAGAAACTAGAGACAATTAGATAGACAGTGAAGATCTCCAGTGGACTTGCTTTGAAATCTGTATTTCTTTAGTTTTTTTTTTTTTTTTTTACTGTTTTGTTCTGTTTTGATATGTTTAATCTTACCCTCTTTAAGATGTAAAACAAGTGTGTAAGACTGATAACCATATTACTAAGTTTTTGTTAGATCATTGAGCAGAACTGTTTGCAGTGTCACTATTTGAATGTCATTTTACATACTTTAATTTTGCAACCTGAACTGCTATGTCTAAGATGACAATATGTAACTTATCAACTGGCAATTTCTTACCGTTTATTTTTCTGTAATTCTGTATTCTACCCTTTTTTATCTCCATGTATTTTTATTTCTTTCTCTTTAAATAATAAAAAAAAATAACATAGAGGGCCCTCAACTGTTACTGTGCATTTTGCCTGTATTAGCCAATCACAATTATATTTTAGGTATTTGACTTGAAAAAAACTCTAGTTTCACAAAGGCTATTAAAAAAAGATTAAAGAACATAAAAGGAAGATAATTAAAATTTTTGAGTTTGTCAGAAGGCTTAAAAGACCACTGGAAATCAGAGCCAGGTGAATATTGCAGTAATAACACTGGTCTGGTATTCACTGTTTGTTTTTTAAGACAGCATCCCGCTCTGTAATTCAGGCTGGTATTAAACTCACCATGTTGCCAAGGCTCACCTTGGATTGTGCCCAGCTTAGCATTCTTTTATTTAAAAGTTTACATTGTTTAGCTTCTCAGAAAAATGTTATGTAACAGTGGTATAAAGTCTGCTTCTAGTATTAGCGGAAGTTGTCCTAATAGGCAGTGTTTCGCTAGATATTGATTGAAAGTTAGGGTTTATAGCAAAAATGGCTTTGATTAAATCCCCTACTAAAAACATGCAAATCAGCTAGACTTGCTGACACATGCCTATCATCCCAGTACTCAGGGAGGCTGAGATAGGAGAATCAATGTGATTTTGAGGCCAGCCAAAGTGCACAGTAAGATCCTGTCTCAAAAAATAAAAAAAAAGTTAAAAGAAAATCCAAAATCATGCTTTTAATGGTCTCTATGTCATGGATGCATCAGTTTTAGGGTTGATTTGTTCCAAATGTTGTCAAGGCAGCTTTTTTTTTTTTTTTTGAAAGAAAGTCTCACTACAGTTAGGTGGGCCTTGAACTCGCTATGTAGCCCAGGCTGGCCTTGAACTTGCAGTGATCCTTCTACCTCAACTACCTGAGTGCTGGGATTATAGGTATGTGCCACCATGCCCAGCCCAAAATTGTTTTTGGTGACATAAAAATTTGATTAAAAGCAATTCAGAGATCAATATAAATATTCAAGTTCAAACCTCACCCCTTCCAAACACTTCAAAGATCTTTATAGTGTTATAGTATATAGACACATTTCTAAGATATTCACTGTAACTATTAAAATATTTTTCCTAACTAAAAAAATTGGTTTTGAGACATTGTCAGATTTTTTATAATTTGTAGACAATATAGAGGTAATTATTAAAATGTTAAATGTTAAATTAAAATTAAAATTATTAAAAATTAAATAAATAAAACTACATCTTTTACAATTAAGTTCTAAAACATTTGCTAAATGTATTGTTTCTTACAATAAATCTACTGGAAGGTAGAGTAGGTAAAACCTGAAGACATGGGTGGAGGCAAAGATTTTATGAACAAAACCCCAATTGTGCAGGAACTATCACAAAGAATCAACAACTGGGATCTCATTAAAAAGCTTTTGCACAGCAAGAGAAACCACCAACAGAGTGAAGAGATAACCCACAGTGTGGGAAAAATGCTTGCCAGCTGTACCTCAGACGGGGAATTACCACTGAGAACATATGAAGAACTCAGCTCCAGAGCAGAGGGCAGGCCCCAGCTCCTGGACTTAGTACTGCTGTGGGTCTTTGGCTGCCCTTCTTCCTCCCAGAACCTTGGACTGCAATGGATTAACCTTGCTGGGTTCATGGGAGACTCAGTAACCCCTCATCCAAGCAGAGGACCTTAGCAGGCTCCCACCAGGTGGTGAGTTTGCCCCTGAAATAGAGGACTTCAGTGTTAGGTAAACACGAGCAGTACCGAAGTTCTCTCCAGCTGTAGGACCTTGGCGAACCTGGCAACAGTGTGGGTGAGTCCTTCTTTCATACAGAGAATATCAGGTGGGTTGAGGCGTGTGCTAAAAAGGTCTCCGCCAGCCTGGAGAAAATTAAAAGGGCTTATGAGACACCCAGTGACACAGTAGGGTCCCAGCCAAAACAAACATTATAGAGAGGGAGTTGTGGTGGCCTGGAACAACCTGAAGACATAGTAACAGTGGGAACTAAATGTTATACACCACATCAACAGAGCCAAAAACAAAAACCACATAATGATCTTAATAGATGCAGAAAAGTTTTTGATGAAGTCCAACACTTGTTCGTGAAAAAAACCCTACAGAAACTCAGAATAGATGGTAACTACCTCAGTCTGATAAAGGCCATCTATGACAAACCAACAGCCAACATTATACTAAATGAACAAATACTGAAAGCTTTCACAGTAAGATCAGGAACAAGACAAGATTGTCCCTATCACCATTCCTATTCAATATAGTTCTGGAAATATTAGCCAGAGCAATCAGACAAGAGAGAGAAATAAAAGGAATAATGATAGAAAAGAAAGAAGTTAAACTATCAGTATCTGTAGATGACCTGATACGCTATAGAGAAGACCCCAAAACTTCCATTAAAAGACTACTAGAGGTAATGAACAAATGCAGCAGTGTAGCTGGATACAATGTCAACACTCAAAAATCAATAGCATTCCTGTACACAAACAACAAACTCACTGAGAGAAATTATGGAATTATTGCCTTTCACAATAGCATCTAAAAAACTGAAATACTTAAGTATCAACCTAACCAAGAATGTAAAAGACCTATATGCTGAAAATTATATTACTCTATAAAAGGAGATTGAAGAGGATATTAGAAAATGGAAGGATATTCCTTGCTCTTAGGAAGAACCAACATTGTGAAGATTGCCATCTTCCCAAAACTGTCATACAGATTTAATGTAATCCCAAACAAAGTACCATTAAAATACCTTACAGATCTAGAGGAAACATTCCTAAAATTCATTTGAATCAGAAGAGACCTAGAATAGCAAAGGCGATTCTGGGCAACAAAGGCAAGGAAAGAGGCATTTCAATTTCTGACTTGAAACTATACTACAAAGCCACAGTGCTAAAATCAGCATGGTACTGGCAAAGAAATAGACCTGAGCATCAATGGAACAGATCAGAAGATGCAAGCACAACTAGAAAGGCACTCAGACACCTTATATTTGACTAAGGGGCTTCACTGGAAGCACAGCCTCTTTAATAAATGGTGTTGGAAAAATTAGCTTTCCACATGCTGAAGACTGAAACCAGACCTACGCCTATCACCATGCACTAAACTGAAGTCAAAATGGATCAAAGATCTAAATATTAAAACAGAAACACTAAATCTACTGGAGGACAAGGCAGGTTAGAAATCTTAGAGACACAGGAGTAGGGAGAGAATTCATGAACAAAACACAAACCACACAGGAAATACTTCAAAGAATCAAAACTGGGATTTCAATTTATTAAAAAGTTTTTACACTTCAAAAAAAAATCACCAACAAAGTAAAATGAAAGCCCACAGAATGGGAAAGAATTTTAGCTAGCAATCCCTCAGACAAAGGACTTATATCTAGAACATATAAAGAATTGAAAAACATCAAGCCCCCCAAATTCAAAGACCCTCTCCAAAAATGAGTATCTGAGATGAACACACAGTTCTCAGATAAAGATATATAAATGGCAAATAAATACATGAAGAAATGTTCACCATCACTGGTCATTTGAGAAATACAAATTAAAACAGCATTGATATTCCATCTCACTCCAGAAAGAATAGCTGCCATCAAGAAATCAACTGATAACAAATGTTGGCGAGACTGCGGGGGAAAAGGAACATTTTTCCACTGTTGGTGGGAGGTTAGTCTGGTGCAGCCACTGTGGAAATCAGTATAGAGATTCCTCAGAAAACCAGGATTGGAAGTTTCATTCAATCCAGTTATTCCCCTCCTGGATATTTTCCCAGAAAAACTGAAAATGTCATATCACATATGTGCACCCATGTTTATAGCAGCACAATTTGTAATAGCTAAATCTTGGAAAGTCAAAATGCCTATCAACCGCAGAAGTGGATGAAAAAGATGTAGTAGTATTTTTATACAATGGAATATTACTCAGCTATAAAAAGAATGATCTTGAGGCTTTTATAGGTAAATGGAGGCAACTTAAGACTATCCTCATAAATGAAATAAATGACTCATATTTGTAAATACCACATTGCCTCTCTAGTGTAAAAATAATAAAAATTGAAGGAGTAATAAGATCCAAAGTGTATAATACATATTGTAAAAAAGGAGAGGGAAAGTGCTCTAAAGGAGATAACTGAATGTATGTATAAGTGTGTAAGATACATGACCATATTACTAAGTTTCATTTAGATCATTGAGCAGGATGGTTTGCACTGTCATTGTTTGATTGTCCACTTTTTATGTTTTACTTTTGTAACTTGAACAACTATTTCTAAGATGACAATATATAATTTATCAACTAGTGATTTCTTAGTGTTATTTTTTTAAAATTCTGGATTATTTTTATCCTATTTCCTATTTTGTTTTTTTTCTCTAAAAAAAAACAAAGAAAAAAAATTGGTCCTTCCAAATTTAAAGACCCAACCTAAAAATGGGCAGATGAGATGAATACACACTTCTCAGATGAATAAAAAAAGCTATTAAATATATGAAAAAATGTTCAGCGTCACTGGGTCCCTTTGAGATACAAATTAAAACAACACTGAGATTCCACCTCACCCAAAAAGAATAAGTACAATTAAGAAATTAACCAATAACAAATGGGGGGCTGTAGGGTAAAATGAACTCTTCTCCACTGTCAATGGGAGTGTAGACTGATACAACCACTATGCAGATCATGCAAATATGTGGAAATTCCTCAAAAACTGGGATTAGAAGTTCCACTGGATCCAGCTATTATCCTTTGGTATTTTCCCAGAAGAACTAAAAACATCATATCACAGTGATAAATGTGCACTCATGTTTATAGCAGTACAATTTTTAATAGCCAGATCTTGGAAACAACCTAAATGCCCTTTAACTGAGGATTAGATAAAAAAAGATGTGGCTTTTTTTATACAATAATACTCAGCCATAAAGAAGGATAAACTTGAGACTTTTATAGGTAAATGGACGCAACTTGAGACCGTACTCATTAAGTGAAACAAATCAGACATGTTTAAACATCGTATGGTCTCATTAGTGTGAGAAGCTGAAAGAAACTAAATATAAAAGATAAGACAGTGATACTACTGATTCCTCTGAGCTCATTAAAGGGTTTGTGCTCATATTGTTCAGACAGTTAAATGCAGTACTCTGAGTAACTGATTTGAAGATAACAATATGCTATGTATATGTCATTGTTACCCAATTGTTATTTTGAAATTTTATTTTCTCTTTAAAATAAAAGTATATTGTTTCTTAATATTTATAAATAGTAGTTGGGTCTATTAAATATACTTCATATGTTGTTGGTATATATCTGTATAACACTGATATAAGATCAGAAGACGTCTGATCCTTTTAATAAGCCTAAGATAACTATTAAAGAGAAACAATATGTATTTATTTTTTATTTTACTTACTTTTGATATTTTTGAGATAGGGTCTCACTATGTAATTCAGGCTTGCCATGAACCCACTATGTAACTCTGGCTAGCCTCAGACTGGCTGTGATCTTGCTTCAGCCTTCTGAGTACTGGGCGTGTACCACATTTAGTACAGACTTTGGTCAAGTTATAGGTCAACTGCTTAAAAATGAATTTAGAGTAAGCCTGAGGGCTGGGGATATCATTCACTGTGGATATAGTACAGCTGTTGCTTAGCGTGTGTGAGGTGCCACGCATGAGCACACACACACACAAACTGCAAAGAACAAAAACCAAGTAGTAAATCTCAAAGTGAGGATTTTATCTGTTCATCATTTTAAAAGATCCACTGGGTATGGTGGTGCATGCTGTAACCTCATGCCTGGCTCTTTTCCCCCTTGTTCTATGTCTGTTTACAACCTCTGTAACTACTGTTTGTCAGAGTTCTAATGTTTTAGGGTGCTGACTACAAAACAGACAAGATTAGACTTGACAATAAACTCTAAATAAGCAGCCTAAAAGCCACTAGTTCCTGCTCATATTTGGCAAAAAGGGTTTTTTATGACACTGACTCTTATCATGTGTCACACCCTCCAACGTGGGACATGTTTTGAGTGATCATCACGGGGAAAAGCTATTGGCACACTGTGGGATAAGGCTGCAGATGGTTAACTGCCAATATCTTTTAAAAACTTCGTTCAGATACAAGAGGGCAAAGTCCCAAGCTTCAAAGAGCCACCTGTTTGTCCACCCCACCAAAATAGAGCTGTAAAAATTATAAAAGGATTATATGGAACTGCCTAAAAGCTGTAAAAACCCTACCCTTTTCACAGATATTTTCTAATTTTGACTTTTTTTTTTTAAAGGGAGAGGTTTATTTTGGCTCATAATTTCAGGGGGTCCAGTGCATGGTTAGATGGTTCCAAGGCAGAAAACACAGTGGAAGGGAATGGCAACATGGCTGTCAGGGAGCAGAGATGACTTTCTTTCATATTTGACTTCACAGTCTTCAGCGATACCTTTGCAGGCTCAGGCACCTGGTTTTCCCTTGCTTGTGTTCCAGCCACCTGTGATAAAATGTGCACAACCAATCCAACATGAAACAGCCAGCCAGATGGTGTGGAACCTGAAGGTCTCAAGACAGAGTGCTAAAATAAACAAGGTGGGAATCTTAAACTGCACAGCAAAATAAAACTTTAAAACTTCATGAAACACTCCTTCCTCTCCTTAGCCCAAAAGAAGTGGTAGAATATACAGATGCCAGCCTCGGGAACCCAGGAGTCACAGGAGCAAGTGTGGAGACCTGCACTATCTCTGTGCCACCCCTTCCTGTGTCCCGTGCCCACCTGCAAATGGTGGGATAGTGATGTGCAGTGAGTAGTCCCTCCATCTCCTCAGAGGTAGCTTTGAAAAAATTCTTTTTTCCTGTTTACCCACATAAATGGCCTCCTTTGATTTGGTCTCTGGTGAGCAGAGGAACCTAAAAATAGGATCACTGTGAATGAAGCCTGAGCTACACAGTGGGTTCAAGGTCAGCCAGAACAAACAAGACTCTGTCTGGGGAGGGCAACAGGTTAAGGAGCTGCTAGTCCCCTATTTGGAGAATTGCAGAGCAACCCTGAGACTTGCTGAGCTGGATCTCAAAGAGCTTTCCCCACTGTTCCAGATTATCTCCCCGGAAGTCGCAGCCTTTGGTAGAAGCAGCAGTATAGGAGAGGATTAGCCTGAAATTTGAAGCCATGTACTGAAAATATCAGGATTCTTCATTATAGAATAGGATAACAAAATCCACTTCCATTCTCGAAAGATTTATTATTATTAAAACTTCAAGCAGACAGAGACATACAGGGCTATCAGCTCACAAGTTCAGTGGGTCACAATTTCAGGGGTACCAGGATCACTGGTATAGGGCTAAGCTGCCCTTCCTGGATACCAGGCAGCTCTGGTCTCAGCAGGTCTGAGAGAAAAAGCTGGTTACAGACACACATTCCTGTCAGCCCTTGGGCGGACCTGTTTGGGGGGTGATGGAGGAGACTTGGGTGGAGTGGTTCCGGGTAAAAGATCTCCCCAGGAGCTGGCACGGTACATCGGTACAGATCCCTGTGAAACAGAAGTGCGACGTTTACTCGGGCTGCAGGTATCTGCCACATTCTATTAACTCTGGTCACACCTCCCGTACCTGCCATGCTGGCCGGCTGTGATGACAGTGTGCTGCATCTGCCGTCTGGACAGCACAGGTGACAGTGCACATGGCGGGGCCCTCTGAGGACAGGCTGAGTGATTCGTGGCCAGCGTTCTTATTCTAAGGCAAGAATATAGAACTGTTTAGAGGAAAAAGGTTTTGGTCAGCTTTTTAGTTCCCAAACTCTTTTTTTTGTCTTTTTCTTTTTTATCAGTACTGGGGATCGAACTCACGACCACACACTTGTAAGACAGGTGATTATGCCACTGAGCTAAATCCCTAGCCCCTAGTTCCCAAACTCTTGCTGCCCCCTTTTCTTTTCTTTCTTTCTTTCCTTTTTTTTTTGGCAGCTCTGGGGGACTGAACCCAGGGGTGCTCTGCCACTGGGTTACATCCCCCAATTTTTATTTTTTGATAGGGGGCTAAGTTGCCTACTCTGGGCTGAAGCTTGCAGCCCTCCTAGTGCTGGATTACAGGTGTGTGCCTCCTTCCCGGGCTCCACGGTCTTCTCATATTGTATACATCATCCATGTGCAGCCTCTGACATCCCCAGACTGTTCTGTAGGCTCTCCACTCTCCCCAGGTCTGACCCTTTCTCTTCCTGCTTTTACAGTTATTTCCTCCCTGTTACAGTACTACCAGGATACACACCCAGCTGAAGGGGTGGGATGGCAACCTGGGAGAAGCTACAGGCAAGGGGCCGAGAGGCCATCAAGTGAGGACAAGGGAGTCCATGGGGACACTGTGAACACAAAAGACAAGACAGCCATTGACCATAAAATTTCAGAGGACAGAATCCAGAGGGTCCATGGAGAAGGGAGCCAGGAGCAAATGGCAGGGGAAGCCCGGGAGTCCCTGGGAAGGTGGAGAGGGACACAGAGTGGTGGACAGTGGCCTTGCTTTATCTACTCGATTTGCCTGGTCGCATTCACACTCTGATCTGTGTGTGGGGGGTCAGGGTGAAGTAATACTTACCAGGGCAAAGATGAAGCCAGGACCAGGGTCCAAAGGTGAGTTCTCTTCTCCCTAAAGCCAGAGGAATGAAGCTGGGTCTTCAGGATCAATTTTTAACAATCAATGCTTGGGAGATTGAGGACTCATTTAACATTCAATCCTAATGATGACCTGTGTCCTTTGAGTTAAGCTGGCTGAAGTGCTAATGCTATAAACAGAGAGCTTTCTCTTTGTAGCAGTAGAGGCAGGAATTTGGCACAGTAAGAAACTCTCCCTTGTCAGCAACTTCCACTTTCAAAAAAAATTCACTCAGGACAATTTAATGTATGATTACACACTGGCTCTTATTCTTTCACAAAGTTCTTGACTCAACAAAGCCCTACGTCAGGGGCTGCAAACTTTTTTCTTCACAGTGGGGATTCAACCCGGGACCTTGTATGTGCTACACAGGTGCTATGCCACTGAGCTACGTCCTGGCCTTTTACATTTGGAGACAAGGTCTTGCTAAGTTGCCCAGGCTGGTCTTGAACTTGCGATCTTCTTGACTCAGCCTCTCACATAGCTGAATTTGCAGGCATGCACTGCTGTGTCTTGCTGCAAGTTTTTAAAAGGGCAGGGAAGAAGGTGAAAGCTGTCTCTGTCTCAACTACTCAGCTCTGCAGTTAGCAGCAGGAAAGCAGTCACAGACAGAGACACATGACTGCGTGGTGCACACAAGAACAGGCAGCGCGCCGACTTGAAGCACAGGCTCTTGTCTGTCAACTGCAGCCCTTTATGACAAGGACTTTGCACGTCTAGTGTCCTAAGAGTGCCCTCACAGATCCATGACGGTCTCTTCAGTTTCCAAGGAAGAAATAGTCATTGGTGACAGATGGGCAGGGGCTGAAAGGGGACAAGGACCTTACCTTGAGGACCAGGTCCCTGGCATCCATGAGAAGCCAGTGCCTGGCTTTTGTTCCATTCTCCACCAGCACCTGCTCATGAGAGGGCAAAACAAGCGGATGCTGTGAACTGCGCGAAAGCACAGATGCCAGCAGCCCAGAAACAGCATCTGCAGATGGACCCAGAGTGGGAGGGGGCTTCCATGTAGGACAGGGGTGGAGCCCCTAGAGAAGGGACCAGACGTATAGAGTGAAGAGAAGGGGAGGAAAGGCTGGAAACCTGTGAAGGTGCTTTACACTGAGGGGAAGAGTTTTCAGCTCACCAGAAAATTGCTCGTCTTACGCCACAGAGTGGAGCACTGGGCAGTTCACTGAGGGCAAAGGCTGCGACTACTACATCGAACTGCACCTGCAGAGACAAGGAGCGCCGGGAACTGACGCCTCGCCATCCCCAGAGGACAAGAAGCTTGGGCCCTACATTTCTTTTGTCTTCTAACACTCAGTGCTAGGCTGTAAAACTGCAGCCTAGGTTTCCCTTGCTACATCCCACATTTAGAACACTCTAGGCACTGCTACTTGCCTTGGGTGACACAGGTAGGAACTGTCTGAAAAAGACACCTGGAAAATAAGACTTCCCCGATTCTGAACCACCTGCGGAAGAAGAGATGTGGCAACTAAGAGCACACATGAAGTGTGGCAGGTAGGGTGGAACACGTCTATAATCCTAGCACTCAGGAGGCTGAGGCAGGAGGACTACTACAAGTTTGGGCTACATAAGGAGTTCAAGGCCAGCCTGCACTATATAGCAAGACCTTGTCTCCAAAAACCAGAAACAAACAAAAAAAGGATACATGAAGTTTATGGTCACAAGTACAAACTAAAGAGATATCCTGACCAGTAACAGTCGAGCATAAAGAACACATTGGGTGATTCTGAACTGCAATGTATAAGTAAATATGAAAAAGGCAGGGTGAGTATGAGCTCCCTTTAGCTGTTAACCTAACCCAAGCTGTTCACAGTCCAGCAAAGGCCTCCAGCACCCTCCACTTGACCAGAATATTGTACAGAGACCAGATTCATCTTAACTTTCAGCTTCTCCTCTTCTTCCAATAAAACAATCTTCCTAGTGCTCCTCTGGCTTTTAACTCCCTCAGCTTTGGAAAAGTCCTACCTTAGAGTGTGTTCTCACCTTTCAGTAATTTTTCTGCCAAGTTCCTCATGGCAGCTGAGCTGTCCACACACACATATTCACGGAGGCTCTGGCCCCAAGTAGTGCGAGCAGCCCTGTGACAGCAAAACAAAAACCATCAATCACTTCTTATTTATTGTTTTTTTTTTAAGACAGTGTCTCACTGTGTAGGTTCAAGCTGGTCTCGGGTTCACTATGTAGCCCAGCCTGACCTTGAATTCATGGTGACTCTCCTGCCTGTCTCTGAGTGCCGGGGTTACAGGAATGAACCATTATACCCGGCCCCCCAAACCAACAATTCTTAGGACAAAAGTCACCCCTATAGGAGATCTATCTACTCCCACCCCGCTCCTGGGGAGACAGGTTTTACATTAAAATACAATATTGTTTTCTTCACTTATAACTCCTAAAAACAGACAGACTTGAAAATCCACTCTAGCCAAAGCAAGTTTTGATTGATATATAAACCTATTCTTTACTCTAATTCCTTTCCTTTTTAGCCTTTCTAAACATGGTCTCTTGTCACAGTTGATACTTCTCTAAGTTCTGGTCCCAATTCATATGTTGCCTTCTGATGGAAGACAAACTGTAGTTTCCAATCTTCCTATTCTGTTTTTTCAGTCTTGACACTGACATGGTGTAAGCAAGGCTTTTTAGGGCTAGACTGACAGAGACGACTGTAGAAAGTTCTTACCAGGTGACAGAACAAATACCAGCGCCAAAGTCCATCAAGGTCTGCGGCTGGAACTGCGGAGCTCAAGTGTGGATCTGAGGAAATACACAACATCCCACAGAAGGGTAAATAGAGAATTACTCAGGGCCATTGGAAATACGAATGAGAGGCTATGACAGAGAAGATGAGAAGGGAACATATTTTGAGATTAAATATAAACATTTTCTAGAATAGAAAGCTTGTGAAATAGTGATTTAAAAAAAAAAAATAAAAGAATTTCTTTGAAGGGGGAAGGCAGGGGAGAGAGACAGGAGACAGCTACTTTGGACGAGTAAGGAGAATTCCAAAAGGAAATACTCCTTTTGTTCCCTTTGGGCAAGGACTCCCTGAGTACTTCAGGCTAGCCTTGAACTTGGCATGTAGCCCAGACTGATCCTGAATTCACTACTATCTTCCTGTCTCAGGCTCCCGAGGGCTGGGATTACAGGCCTGATTCCCCACACCTGGGGATGAAACAGCCACTGTAAATCTTCCTTGAGTGACAGAACCCTTTCACTGAGAACAAAGAGACTGTCTTTTAAAATATGCACATATAATGTCGGAAGAATCCCTGCTCTGGACGACTACTTTAATATATAGTTTTTTTTTCTCTTTTTCGTTTTTATTGGTACCAGGGATCGCACTCACGACTGCACACTTGCAAGGAAGGCGCTTATGCCGCTGAGCTAAATCCCCAGCCCCTGGAAGACTACTTTAAGAAAAAGGGAGCTGAGGCAGAAGGGTTCAGGGTGGAAGTTGGGGGACTTTCACCTCATGGAATGCCCTGGAGACTGCTGCAAAGCCACCATCCAGTTTTGCGGCCATGTACACCAGGCTCAGTTCTTCATTATAGCTGCAATGAAAATCAGAGTCATAGCCCCAGGAAATAATCTCAGTCCCATAGTTACTTTATACGTTTTTAAGATGAAATCTTCTAGAGCTCTTCCAACCCTTCTGCTCCCCTTACAGGAAGGTGCAGATGGCTTTCTCAAACAGTAAAATGATTGTGTGTAATTACACATCCAATTCTGCTTTTCAAGTCCAGTGTTTCCCCTCTGCACCTTATCAAGCCCTCCTCACCTCAGTTCCTGTCAGTGACTCTGTGCAGGGCACATGGCACAGCTCTGAGGAGTTTCTTCTCTGTCTGAGGTGAGCCTGGAGTGAGAAGGAGGACTGGAGGTGAGTCCCTGGAGGGAACAGGAATCAGATCAGTATTAAATATCCTGCCCAGTCCAGCCCTCCCTCGTTTCCACCTGAGCAAAGCCTCAAAGTTCAAGAGTGAAGCCAAATCTAGAGAAAAAGTTCAGCTAAGAACAACTATAATCATCATCATCAGAGTGAGTGTATCAGATAGAGGGGCTCCTGCCTCTAACAGCAGTTACTCAGCTTAATGCTGCTCCACAAGTTTTTTATACAAAAGAGAAGTATGAGAAAAATTTAAAGGGTACACTAAGGAGAAAACTGTGGATTTCTACATTCCTACGGGGAGGAAAAGAGTTTGAAAATCTCTCATGACTCTGCTCAGTTCCGTACACTTTAGAAACCATCTATGGAGTGCCTACTTGAGACAAGTATCATGGGAATGCAGGGAATACAAGATGGAAAAAAAAGGCAGGTCTGTAACATGAAGTTCATTATCATAAAAATAGGCTTCTTCTCTCTCTGAAGAGTGTTTTGGTGCTGGGCAAGGAGCCAAACAGGCTCTGTGTTTTTATTTCACCTGAATAAAAATGCAGAAGAGGCGTGGTGGTACATTCCTGAAATCCCAACACTAGGGAGGTTGAGGCAGAAGGATCCCTTCAAGTTCAAGACCAGCCTGGGCTACAAAGTGAGCCCAAGGCTTAGCCTGAACTGCATAGTGAGACTCTTGTCTCAAAACAACAACACCACCACCGCAGAAGATCCTAATCTTGTGGCCCCAAAGAGCTGGATTTCTGACCTTTACCCAAAACCTGAGAGCAACCTGTAGACAGTCTACCTTCTAGGAAGGCGCTGTAACATCTCCTCTTGCGAAGTCAAATAAGAAACTGCAGCATCAATTTTAGGCATTGTAGAATTACTTCTTACGTTTCATTTCTCATTGATATTCCAAACGGGAAATATTCTTAATTATTCTTAAATCCTATCTGGGTTTTCCAAGAATTTTTTCTCAAAATACATAGCCCATCTCTGCAACTCTTCTAGTTCTACAGGCAAATGTCGGCTCCAGAGATAATTGGTTAGCGTTTGTACCTTCTCCTCTACACTGGACACCGTGCTCTCTGCGGGCCGAAGAGGAAAAGCGAGTCACTTTCGCGCAGGCCTCTGCTCCCTTCTCTCCCGGGCTCCGGCACGGCGGTTACCCGCCGAGTAGCAGCGACTGCGGGGCCAGAGCCAGCACCTGTGGCAGCCGCACGTGCGGAAGCTGCACGATGCCAGGGTGCTGCCGGTGGGGCTTCTTCCCCAGAAAATCGGACTTGTTATTACGTGGGTCACGCTGGGAATGAGGGCAGTGAGACCTGGAGGCTGGGAAAAAAGCGGTCTGTCAGGCAGAAAGGACGGACGCAGGCACTTCCCCAGAGGAGGAGATGCATAAGTATCTCCCCACACCCTGTCACCGGAGAGCAGAGGAAACAGACACTTACACGATGTTGGGGATCCACTCGACGGCTCCGGCGCCATCTACTTAATGTCAGTCCCCTTGTGGTCGCCATGACTCCGGAGACAAACCGGAAGCAGAAGCGCTGGTGACTTCGGCCTCCATTGTCCCGGCGAGCTACTTCCGGTGTCCAAAACACAGTCAGCCAATGAGAAGAAAGAGTACATGCAAGCTGCCAATAAGCAATTGATATGTAAATCTCCTCGAGGACAAAACTGTTAAATTGGGGGGGGGGGGAGGGCACGGAATTGGTCGCTGTGCAGAAGAAATGTGAGGGAGGCGAAGCTGGCCTCTGGTCCTGGCCAGAAGTGTAATGACCGGAACAGGGACTGCTACAGCCTGGTGAAGGCTCTGGAATATTAACTGTGTTTCTTGACTTCCTCCTTGGACAATTCTGAGTCTCAGGCTGTTTCGCTCTGTGGAAAGTGGAGAATGCAGTAACCACAAGACGAGAAAAAGAGTTAGGTGACCAAAGAGAACATACACTAACAGTCGTTAAAATAGTCATTAGCTTAATAAATATTACACCTTGTTACTAATTTTTTCGGAATTATTAATTTTTTTATTACAGAGCTGTTACATTTTTATAGATATTTTACTTCCATAAAACCAATGGTACGAAGAAATACGTAGAATAAGAGGTTATATATGTTAATAATTATATTACCAAATTATAAATATTGTTCAATTGTGTATTTGTTTTACACATTTATGAATATTTTTTTCACTTTGTATTTCTATTTACGTATGTTATATAATACATTTGTTATTGCATATGTTTGTAATATATAATGCTTACATTCCTTGTATGGCATTAGTACATAGAATTACTTCCAGTTCTTGTTTCTTCCCCTTTTCCTTCGCTCTGCCTCTCTCCATCTCTTGGTCCCTCTCTCATTTAAAAAAGATTTACTGCCTTACTTATAATATCTTTTATTTTGTGTCTACCTATATGCCATAAATCTACCATTCTTCCTTTCCACCTCCTACAGTAGTTTACTGTATTATCATTCATACCATAAACAGCTAATTTTTTTATTTTAAAGAGAAAAAAGCATAGAAAAATAAAGCAATCAAAAAAATCAAATGACAACAATGACGACAAAAAAATACCAAACAATAGTGATAATAAGATTTCAAAATAAGATAGGAATTTAGCAATGAGTGTTACACTGCATATTATCTTCAACCTATTTGCTTAGGTTACCAGATGCAGGCATGCAAAATTGATTGAAAGATATGATTTCCCTTGGAGCATTTTGTTTTCTTTTCACTGTATCTGTTATAACTTTTAGATCTTACTTACTTCCAGTTTCTTACACTAATGAGACAATTTGTTGCTTATACATGTGAGTGATTTATTTCACTAATAATTTTTAAAAGTTAGGTTTTTTTCAAGTTAATCTGATGCATAGTGAGAACATCTCTGTACCACACACAGTGCCAAGAAGCTTTACCTAAACTACAGTATCTCCTTTGTTTCCCCAAATCTCTCTCTTTTTTTTTCTTGTACCAGGGATTTAACTCACAACCTTGCGCTTGCCAAGCAGGTAGTTACGCCACTGAGCTAAATCCCCAGCCCTATTCCCCCACATTTTATGAAGTAGGAGGTTTGGTTTTTAACTTCATTTGCAGTTGAGAAAAGTGAAGGTTCTGGTTCAGTGGGCCCAAGATTACATAATTTGCTAGATGTCAGGTAAATTCAAATAGGAAGCCTGAGCTCTACCTATATACCCTACGCTGATTTGGTATTGGTATTTGGATGCAAATGGACCAAGAACTTCATGCTAATTGCTCAAAAGTTAAGAGGTAACATTAAAAACAACTCACTATGCTATGAACTCTTTTTTTTTTTTTCTGGTCTTTTTGAGATAGAGTTTCACCATAGTCCAGGTTAGACTTCAACTCATTTTGTAGCCCAAGCTGGCCTTCAACTCACAGAGTCCTCCCTCGGCCTCCTGAGTGCTGGGATTACAGGTGTGTGCCAGCATATCCAGCCTTGTAAATTCTTGGTATACCAAATACTTTAATCAGCTGTAGTATACCCTTAAAGTCTTGGGATAGAAATCTGGAGGGAGATCCTATAGTTACAGTGTTGTACTCTTTGATGTAACTATATGAGTCTAAATGTAATAATTATGGGATAAATTGGGATGAACTATGTCAATTTGAGTTAAATGTCTGACTTATGTTTAGATATTTAAGATTGATTCCAATAAAACAAGGTTTTCCTTCATCATTTGAATGTCTGGAAGGAAACTTGAAGCGTTTACGGCAACTGAATAAATTTCAGATTTACCTTCCTTTAGTGTTTATGTCTTTTCATTTCGATTCACATTGCCACACTTAATTTTCATCTTTCTCTCTGTGTCTCTCTGTCTGTCTTTTTCTCTTTTGTTTTGTTTTCTGACACAGGTTCTTGCTTGCAGTTCAGGCTGACCCTGAATTCAATGTGGTCTTTCTGCCTCAGCCTCCAGTGCTTGGCCTTTGTAGTCTGGCAATATAAGTTTGAATTCTAGAGCAGTGAGATACTAATCGCTGCTTTCCAGGATTTTTGGGATGAAGATCAAATAAGATAATGTCTGGATCAGAGTAAATGCTCTATAAATTCATGCTGATATTATTACATGTGTTTTTTTGGAATCTGAAAGGGTATACTGGCATTTTAATTTTTATTTTGAATTCATGTTTTTTTTTTTTTTTTTTTCCAAAGTAGACCCAAAACTGGGAATTCGTGGAACCAAGTAAGGTGAAGTACTAGAGAGTAAGAAGTAAGGAACAGGAGAATTTCATGTGTCTGTTCCTCTTTTTTTTGGTTGATGTTGTCAAGCTGCCCTTAGAGATGTGGCTCCTTTATTCTGATAATATCTTAACTGGGATTATTCCTTGCTTTTAATAATGGAATATCTCAAAAACTGATTTAATACACACTTGTAATCCCAGTTACTTGGAAGGCAGAGGTGGGAGGATGATGGCAAATTTGAAGCTGGTTTGGGACCTTAGTGAGACCCTGATTCCAAACAAAAAGGGTTAGGGTTGTAGCTCAGTGGTAGAGCACTTGCCTATTATGTTCCAGTCCCAAAGTTCAAGCTCCAAGTAAATTAGGCAAATCATTACAGTTATTAGTTTTAAGGATAATTTTAAGTTGAAGAAATTTTGTTCATAAGAACTATATTTTTTTTTAGTGGTACTGGGAATTGAAGTCACTGAACTAGATTATCAGACTTGTATTTATCTATTTTTTTCTCAGAGACAGGGTCTTGCTATGTAATCCAGGTTGGCTTTGAACTCTCTATGTAGCCCAGACTGTCCTCAAACTCACAGTGATCCTCCTGTCTCAGGCTCTTGATTGCTATGATCACAGGTGTGCACCACTCTACCGGGCTATTTTTATTTTGAGGCAGGGTCTACACTAAATTTCTCAAGCAGGACTTTTAGCTTGTCATTCTCCTGTTTCAGTCTCCCAGAAAGCTGGCATTATAGATATCTGCCACTGTATCTGATCCAACTAAAACATTCTTTTTCTTGAGCAGAGATGCTTATATTTAATTTTAAAACAGTCTGAAAGTGCATCATAAATCATACTAGAATTTAGGAATAATTTTAATGCAGATATTAGACAATTCACTGAAGAATATGAAAGCTCAAATAATTTTTAACTGCTTTAATGTTACACAAGTTTTTCAGTAACAAGCAATAGAAATGTTTATCCTATGACCAGATGTGACATCCCTAGAAAAGCTGGATCTGTAAGGCTGCAGGTCTTCCAAGTTCCTTCTGGGGCTACAGTTGTAGGAAGACACTTAATCATTTCCTCCTTGTTACGAGGAAAGAAAGTATAGGCAAAAGCAAATTTTCTAGCCAAAGTACTACTATTTTTATCAGTGCCCATAGGGACTTTTAAAAGTGTTTACATGGCTTTTGTGTCCTTGGACCCTAGGCCTCTTTGACTTACTCTTGCTTAGCTCCCCTATCTTTGAGAGCTTCATTCCAATTTGAATGAGTGACTTGTTCTCCTCACAGTGCTGGTGATGCCTATGGGCACCACTCTGTGTTCTCCTAGTCTGTCTGCACATATTCCTTGGGCAGTGTCATCAACATCTTCCGCAGCTGCTGAAATATTAAATGTCCTGGCTTAGATCACTATGCTGGATTGTAGTCTCTATTTCCAACAACATGGGTTTTATCTAGCTATACCACATACAACATTACTGTCTTAAAGACATTTTAAAGTGAATGCATCTTTTTCATTACCACTCTGTCCCTTATTCCCTGCTGTTGTGGTCAGGGGTTTGCACGGAGAACAAGACGATACAGGACACATAATTTATAGTATTTATAATGGTCACCCAAATACAAAGAAAGTGCAGGAAATCTGTCCACACACTAAAGACCTAGAGAATCCAGCTGCAAGTCTGGATCCCACGGCAATGTCCTGCATGAGTTTAGCTGAAGACCTAGAGCCCATGACAATGACTCATGTAAGTCTGTTTCATGGATCTGTTCTGGTTCAAAGGTTCAAAGTTCAGCTGTGGAATCTAGAAAGTCTATGCTGGCAGGATGAAGGATCTGTGTCAGTAGTTTGAGCGTTCTGCACTGGAGCCAAGAAGTGATGCTCAAAATAAAGACCAGGGCTCCCCCAAAGTGAACCACAGCCTTTATCAGTGACAAGGTCCAGAGCTCCTTCAATAACAGCTGAGTTCATATCTGGAAGCCAGCATCACAAGCTCCTTTAGGAGAACCAACAGGTCCAAAAGAATTAACAGCTCCAAACAACAGCTCCAAACAGTCTTCTCTCCCGGTCTCCTTTTGTGCTGGCACCAATCCTCACTCAGGTGGGTCATCTACACTCAACACCAAGCTGATTCAGTTCACCTGGTATAACAAGCTGACCACCACTTAACAGTCCACCACTAAAAGCTTTCTTCCTACTGTACTTTATTTTTTTTTTTTTTTGTGACTAACTCTATTGTCCAGCAATTAAAATGCTTTGTGCTCCATTAAAGTGTGTGTGTGTGTGTGTGTGTGTGTGTGTGTGTGTGTGTGTGTGTGATA